CTCCTCCCGCCGGCGCTCCGGCTTCGCCGCCACGCCCGCAAAGACCATCCAGATCCCGCTCAACGATGACACGGCCGAGAAGGCCAAGCGGCACAAGCGCCGCACCATCCTGCAGGACATGCAGATGAACAAGATTGCGGCGGCCGTGACGCCCGGCAGCCGCCGCGTCACCCTCAGCGGCGACCGCGGCGAGAGCCCGCTCAACACGCCGTCGAGGGGGGGTGCAGGGGCGGGCGGAGAGCTCGAGGCCGTCACGCCGATGAGGAAGGTACCCATTTTGGCAAACTTTGAGGAGTGGATGAAGTTGGCGACGGATAATGTTTGTGGATACCCTTGTTTTTTGTTCTTTTTTACTTCTGCTTGGAAGGTTTGGGGGTTGTGGTGGTGATGGTGGGGCTAATTGGAGGGTGCGGAGACGGGTAGAAAATCAATGCGACCAATTCGTGGAACTTTGCGTTGATTGATTACTTTTACGACATGTCGCTGCTGAAGGAGGGCGAGGGCATCAATTTCCAGAAGGCCTCGTGCACGCTCGACGGCTGCGTCAAGATCTACACGAACCGCGTGGACTCGGTCGCGACAGAGACAGGGAAACTGCTCAGCGGCCTGGCCGACAGCAGCTCGCGGAAGAAGGGCCGCGGCGGCGACGACGAGGAGGACGGCAGTGATGCGGAGGCGGAGGACGGCGACGGCAACGGGGAGGGGGTCAAGAGGCCGCGGAGAAAGGTATGGCATTATTACTACTGCTACTAGACTACTACTAGACTGCAATTGTGATCATTACCACCTAATGACAATCGCTGATGGGTTATCTACTCTACTATAGGCACAACGCTCCTCCGAGGCAACGCTCGCAAAGGACTTCCACACGCTACAGATCAAGAAGCTCGAGCTCGAGTTCTCCGTCGACCCGCTGTTCAAAAAGGCCTCTGCCGACTTTGACGAAGGCGGCGCCAAGGGGCTGCTTCTCAACCATCTCAGCATCGACAACAACGGCAAGATCGTCTTCGACTCGTCCGACGACAAAAAGGCCGAAGAAGAAGAAGAGGAAATCAAGGAAGAAGAAGATGAAGACGAAGACGGCACCCCCAAGCCCAAGCCTGCCCCCGAAGAAAAGGCCGAAGAGCCGGAAGACGAGGACATCCCAATCGACATCTCAGTGCTCGCTGCTCGCTTCTTCCCAGACCTCAGCCGCCTTGACAATCAGGATATTTGTCCCTCACTCAAGGGCTTCGAGTTCGGCGACTCTGCCGGTGCGCTGGACATCCCGTTCTTGAAGGCACTTGAGGAGCGTGCGGACGAGGAGCTGCAGGACGGCGATGACGGCGCGTCGGATAATGGCGGTGACATGGCGTTTGGCTTTGACGACGGCTATGGCGTCGGTGTTGAGAGCGACGGGCTCGGCTTCGGGGAGGGCGGTGAAGTCTGGGCGAACGAGACAATCGCGGACGCGGCGGAGCGCTTCATGAGCCCGGCCAAGAGGCCGACTATGATGGGTCTTGGAGGCGCCGACGGTGAAGAAGAGCGGTTCGGCGAGGTTGATGGCGATTACAGGGTTGGTTTTGGAGACTCTGCGGAGGGGATCTTGAGCTACTTTGATGAGGCGCTGAAGAAGAACTGGGCTGGTCCTGAGCACTGGCGTATTCGGAAAATCAAAGGTTTGCACTCCTCTCCCCCTTCCTTGGCAGCAGTGATAGTAGACACTAACGAGTGACGACCCATGAAGACAGCACCAAATCCAACGCCGCCCCCGTGCGTGTCCGCAAAGAGAAAGAAACCTTCGAGATCGACTTCATGGACCCCGCGGGCGACATCCCAGCGGACGTCTTCGCACCCCCCAAAGCCCGCAGCGCCACCACACTGCCCAAAAGGGACCAACAGCCCAAATCGCGCTACCTCCTGCCGGACGACAAACTCTTCAACTCACGCCAACTGCTCAAGCTCTTCCTCAAGCCCAAATCCAGCATCCAGGAGACCAAGCGCCGCCGCCTCACGCTCAGCGGCGGCCGCGCCGCCGGCACCGGCAACACCACAACCCACGACATCCCCGCCGACGCCGACCCCGCCGGCGAAGACATGGATGAGGAGTTCTGGGCAAAGGAGAACATGGCCATGGAGATCCAAGCCTCGTCCACTCCCGACCCCAAGGTCGCCGGCAACTACGACGCAAACTTCTTCCAGGACGACGGCGGCATGGGGGGTATGGGTCTCGGCGGGCTGCCAGACGACGACGACGACGACGACGAGTTTGCCGACGCAAGAGAGGCGTTTAGCCCCGGCCCCGAGGGCGCCGCGGCGCAGGCGGGCGCGACGCAGAACGTGTTTGGCACGCAGCAGTTCCCGCCTGGCACGTTTGGCGGGAACCTGGAGTTTGGGAGCCAGCTGGTGACGGGCGCGAGGAGGGTGCGGCCGGAGTATGTGCAGTATGCGCGCGTGGCGAAGAAGGTGGATGTCAGGAAGCTGAAGGAGAACTTGTGGACGGGGCTGGCGTTCGAGCCGCCCAGTAGTAGTGAGGTGCTGCCAGGGGGGAAGCAGGCGGCGGCGGTGCCGCCGCCGGAGGAGCCGAGGAGGTTCACGAGGGTCATGAATGAGCTCCAGAGCGTGTACCCGCAGAAGACGATGGGGGATATATCGACGTCGTACTGCTTCATCTGTCTGCTGCATCTGGCGAATGAGAAGGGGCTGGTGATTACGGGGAGTGAGGCGCTGACGGAGTTGAGTGTGGTGAAGGATGAGAGTGCGGAGGGGCCGGATGGGTATTAGTTTTTTAGTTCTTTTTTAGGTCTTTTTTTTGTATTTTTTTAACCTCTTTTTTTTTTTTTGATACGCTTTTTTTGAGAGTAATGAATTGAGTAGAAATGAGTTATGGCGGTTTTGGGTTTTTTAGTCCTTTTTTTTCTGCGTTATTTTTTTGGGGGGGAAGGGGGGGGGGGGGGGGAGGAGGGTTATTGGTTACTATGGCGGTATTCGAGTACTACATGGTATAATTTTTTGTTAGTATCGGTGCTATGTTTTTTGGTCGGGCTAGGCTGTAACATCCATGATGGCCTGTGAGGAAAAAGGTAATCGAAGGGAGGAGGGTAAGGAGGGAGATACAGTACATGTAGTTACATGTCGGTATTGCTACCGCAGCTTATTCCAGCCGCCAGTGCCGCGCCGGCATGCCCCCAGCCGTTGTCACAATTGATTATACTTACCCCTTCGCCGTGTCGAGATTCGAGTGCTCCAAACATAACTATTTCCGTTGAACAAGAGTTTTTTTGCGTGGTGAAGGATCCCAGGCCCAGTGTGATGGGGGTGTATTCTCAGAGCGATGATAGTAAGGAAGGAACGTTAGATTTACCACAGTGGGAAATCTTTACGGTCTGTCTCAATCTCAATGGGCCAAGATCGAAGCGTCTTGGCGTCGAGTGATGGCCTGTGATTGGGCTCAGATGTTACATAAGCCAGTATACAAGCTAGCCGAAACTCATGTAGTGCAGCCTACATGAGAGCTTCAAGGAGCTTACGGGTGAAATCTTGACCTTCTGATCGTGGCCGGTGCTGCAAGGCACGGAAGGGTCTGGTTTGGAATGCTGTACTCACTGGAAGCTAAGGGGGTTGCGGGATGGGTGGATGAAATTAAGCCACTATCATGATATACATAGGTATTAGATTCCCGTTTACAGTGGGGTCGATAGTAACATGCGAACGGGATCAAAACTTGGTGCGCGTGTTGGCACTGTTGAGGGTACATGTATGTCTGTATCGGTTTAAGGTCGTGTTGGTCAACCAGCTCACCCACCCAAAAGTCAATGGCCGAATTCAATGCCCCTAAAATTAAAGGCGCTTCACTTTAATGATATTATATATCGGTTCTTCCCGAGTACATAAAAAGAACAAAAGGTACTGCAGACATGGTTATGTCTACTACCCCCACCCCTGGGTTGAACCGTTGACCTTCTATAGACGTTCAAAGGTCGGCACAACCACACGGTGTTCCGGAAGGCGAGTGTTACCCGTTAGGCCACTCGCCCATGTGTGTTAGCACCTGGCAATCATTTTTAAACGCCAAATCTATCATCCAAACTTTATCCTCTTATCAGCGCCGAGCTGGATAAGATCTCTGCGATAAGCAAGCCGTTGATTGTCGTGATATAGAAAACAAAGGTTTCCTCTTCACCGCCTAGAGGACGTGTAACTTCCTTGCAATTATAGATATTCGTGGCCTGGAGTGCAATATCATATGACAAGCCGTCACGTTAAGTTTATCCCCCCCAAGTACAAAAAAAGAACAAAAAAGTACTGCATTGGTCGTCGGCGCCGCGACATCTACTATTCCCACCCCTGGATTGAGCTATGGACCTTCGAAAGGCCAGGCACAACCTCTCAGTGTGAGGCGAGTAGTGCCGCAGAGAACCGCTATACCACTCGCCCTTGTATATTCTTAGTAGGAAATCATATTAGCCAAAGCCGGCCGGAGGTACTTAACCGTAGATTTAACATAAAAACCCTACAAAAACCAGCTTTGAAAATCTTATGAGTCAGTCAAAATACAGGAGGGAAACGAGGTTTCGGTAGACAGGACTAACAATCGACGGTTGGATGGAAATCACTTCAAATTGACCTGCTCATACCAAACAATTCAACGGTAGATGCATTATTATTATGGCTATATCTTCTCAAGTATATTACTCTTACATCTCCTTAGCAAATACATCCCTTAAATACAGCACACACACAACAACGAATGGACTAAATCAAAAAAAATCAGTACACACACCCGCGCCCAAATCGAGTGATAGATCATGACCGACATGAATTTCCAGGCAGGGTAATCCGCTATCGAACCCCATGCAACAAACTCCACGCGCGCATAGTACAACAAGTCCCCAACAAGCGTTGGCACGAACAACGACAAACCAACGCGTCTTCCACCGCACCGACCGACAGAACTAAAAAGGCGTCCCCCCCTCGAGATTGGACCCTTATATCATTCGCATCATCAAAGTCGCCCCGCCATGGCGCCCATATCCACAGACCTTGATTTCTTGAACGATGCGCTGAAGAATAAAACACGACTTCCGTACCTACCCCCCCACCCACCATTCCTTGCTTGAGAACAAGTAGAAGTGAAAGAAAGAGAGAGTGTGTGTTGTATGTGTGTGTGCTAATTTCAGATATGTTGTCAGATCATGGAAATCAACCTTTGCCCGCCTCACATCCCCAAATCGACCCTCACAAGCAACAATAAGCTCCCTCACCGCCTTCCTCACTTCACCAATCTCCATTGACAGTCTCGCGCAATGCTACTCCCCCTTCCCCCGCCCCAGCGCTGCGTCAAAGGCGGATTTTGAACGCCGCACCGCCGCCATAAACTTCACAGCGGCAGACCTGCCCATGCCAGGGATCGCAGAGCTTAAAGATGCTGCGCTGGAGCTTTCAAGGAGCTTAGAGATTGACGAGGTCTCGGCGCTGCGTATCGTGGTTCTTGAGTACCAGTCGCGGCCTGCGGGTGCTCTGCTTGCGTCCGATGCGAATAGCGGGGAGGATGCGCCTGGTTCCCTTCCTAACCAGGTGGAGAAGCCGGTGATGAGCAAGGATGAGGAGTTTTTCAGCAGGGTCAGTGTGTATATGAGCGAGCGGCGATATATCATCAAGACTGCTACATTCTTGGTGAGAGCTGCCATAACGGCAGATCGGAAGGATAATGTCTGGAGGGAGGTGGGCAAGCGATTTGAGGTTGAGGGTATTGTGGAGAAAGGCGGGTTGGCGGGGAAATGCATTGATGGAATTGCAGAAAGATGGAATGAGGGACGAAAGGGAGGGGAAGGGCTACCAAATTGGGTGAGGAGCAGGTTAGAGGGAAGCGTTTATCCAATTGCGTATAAGTGGGAGCAACAGGTACGAACTCGTTCCTGACAGATTAAGAGAGAGGGGGCTAATTTCTGTGGTATTACTAGACACTATGGGAGATTCTCCACCTTCTCCAACTCATTTTTGTTCTCCTGTATAAATCACTGGAGGATTCCAGTGTGACGCTAGTAATCAAATGGTTCGATCTTATGAAAGAAACCGCCTTTCTTTCACACAGAACATATGTACCTTTCCCAGAAGCATTCGAAATAATCAATCTTTATAAATTTACGACCCCTCTCACATCCATAATCTCAACAACTATCCTCCAGCACCCCAGAACCGAAAAGCATCTCCAGAAGGAATACGTCCGTACCTTCTCCGCCGAATCTTCAGCCACCCCACCAGCACATGGCCCTGCCCGCCGCGTACCACCTCCTGCAGACGATAGTAGCTTCTATATTGAAAGCCCCAAGGCAATTAAAGCAGTTACCTCGTGTTTTGTAACAACAAGCTCAGCCCCAGGCGCTGCAGTCCCTGCTCTTGCTTGGTCACTCATTGTCCTCGACATAATTTCCTTTGTGAATGCTGCCTCGCAGGAAGAGGATTCGGACCCATTCAGCAATGCATCAGCCGGGAGAGGTGAACGACACCCCACGGTTGAGCTGTATGAGAACGTTCTCTCAGGGCTGTTTGAAGGCAGCGCAGAGAAGGAAATTAAGAGACTCGCAAACAGCACTGTGAGGGATGCTCTAGAGGCGATAGTACTAATGATCGAGCCTTCCGGTACTATTGGTGAAGCCTTCTTGGGTGCCAAGTTCTGGATTGGCAGCGAGGAAGATGGATATCGGATGAAAAACGTGCTTGCATCACTTGTTCGGAAGGCGCTGCCAGATCTTAATATCTCCGGAGAAGTGCTCATGACAGTACTATTGGTACATGAGTTGCAGTATAATGATCTTGCTTCCTATATCCGCTTCCTCGATGACGAGGCTGAGAAGGGCGGTGATGACTCAACAGGATGGACTAGCTCTGCAGCTGGGCGCTTTATGAAACATGGTGAAGCAATGAGGTTCCTGAGGCGTACGAAGAATAGGTTTCCATATGAACCTATACTCTTTTTGAGGCTTATTCGCGCACTGGCCTTGGAGAGCGGCGAGGTAACAAAGGATCTGGTCAAAATGGATACCTATACTCAAGTCTTGCCTCCAGGCTTTGAGGATTATGATGTTGATAATGAGGATAGCGACATTGGGAGAATACAGCTTACAAGTGACTTGCTAGTGTTTGCCCCCCGCGACGAAGGCGTGTTTGAGGATGAGTATGCACCCCGAGGAGGCATTGTAATACCCGCAGGGACCATTGGAGAAATCACATCCACGGGGGGCGGCAGGCTTGTCGTTGCATGGAAACATGAATATAATGCGCTCCCGTTACTCGGTAGAGTGCTGGAATATGCACTTATCGGCGAAGGTTCTGCCTCCGGAGCTGGGAGGCTCATGGCGGGAGAACTAGGGACGGGCGAGACTGCAACCGAGATAATTAGCTTGTTGACAATGCTTATTGCGTCTGGGACTGCGAGACCTGATAAAGCTGCTGAGGGCTTTGATGTTGCACGGATTCTCGAGGAGGCAAGCGATAATGTTGGAAGAAGTCGCGACGTAGTCTCAATTATATTTGATCTCCTCGAAGCCGGATTACAGGCCACTGCTCAATCGAGCAATACCGGCAAATCAACAGAATTCATCGTAGCCGCCCTGCAGTTCGTTGATGCGCTTATTAAGGTTCTCCCCGGACGAGTATGGCCATTTATTGCACGGAGTACCATTCTCGAACGAAATGGTCGTGGGGGTGCCTTTGTGAGTATTTTGTCGGCAGTGGAGGTTGTGCGTGGTGATTATGAATTCACTATCAATTGCCTGAATTTGTTCGAGCACCTCGTTGAAGAGGCAATCGAGAGCAGTGTTGTGAACATGGGTGGAAGCCGTTCTCTCCAGCTTGCATCGATGGCTGCGAGTACTACCACAAGATCCGGGGTTAGCATGCCGGTCCAGAGAGAGATCTTGACTAGCTGGACCAGGGTCACTGTTGATGTATTCGAGAGTTACAGAGGATGGAAATATGTCAATAATGAACAGAGATTAGATATTGGTAGGTATTCGCACTACCTCATATATTGTGCAATTCTAACGGAGAGTAGGTCGACGTATTGCCAGGATATTCTCAGCGATTCTTCTCCAGGTCTACGGCGTTGATGACTCAACGGATATCAGCACGAAAGTCACACATGTCTTGGGACCTAGCGCTGAACACCTTGTAAAGGTTTTCCTTTCAGAAAGTGAGAGTGACCTCCATATGGAACCAATCATTGGCGCCATTCACGACGGGCTTATGACCCCTGAGACAAGCTTGCATTTGAGATCTTTGAATGGATGGATCGAGCATAACATCGCGATAATAGGATTCGCAGAGGTTTGTATCAGGGTTAGAGGGTACCTAGATCTACCCCCTTCATATCTGGAGATGAAAATTTACGGTGTCTCTGCATCTTTGGCAAAACTTTATGCTACACATGATCGGTATAGACAGCCTGTTCTCGAGCTCTTTGAGAGTCTTGTTGTTGCGTCTGGCACAGCGACTACTGAACCCCCATCTTTGTTGGGTCATCTTGGAGCAGAGTGTGCAAGCCATTTTGCCACAGTATTAAGAGGCCTTGACAAGCCATTCGACGATGAACTCCTTGAATCACGGATATGGGGCTTTGTGTCTGCTGTTGTCAGCAACAAACAGCAAGGACTTTCTATACTGCTGCTGCGCGGCGAGACCCTCTGGAAGGGAAATCTCAGTACCCGGGATAAAGCTCCAAAGAGTTCTCTGTTATCAGTTGCGCTGGACTCATTGTCAGACATTGATAAATTATCTGCTGGAAGATCATTGGCCATGCTTGAAGCTGTTGCCCTCTCGCAGAATTTCTGGAGTCTTGCCATGGAGGACTTAGGCAAACACCCGAAGTTTATCAAAGCCATCACAAGCCATGTCGAGTCGCTAACAATTGAATTCCTCCCCGCGGATTCAAAAGAGATCATCACGGAAAAAGCCAACAAAGTTGCTGTTGCTGCATGCATAGCACAACTCATTGCGATGCATCTTCATAGCAGGCAACCATCTGTACGAGAACCAGGTTTTATTAAAGACTTAGTACCAAAACTAAGATTCTACTTTGAGAGTGCGGTCAAGATTAGTGGTTATAGGGCGTCGCTGCACGGACATTTGCAGAAGAATTTTGAAGAGAAATGGCCAAGTCTAACTTTGCTGAAGCTGAAAAAGACAAGATTAAGGAGACGAGAGTACGGAACGGGATACTTTTATGACATGGAGTTGGCGGCGAAGGTTTTAGGTTTTGATCCGAGCTGGGCTGGGAGAGCGGATGGTTACGCTAGTGAGGTGGAGCAGGCAAATCTAAACCTGTCTCTGGTCGATTCCCAGGTGGTGAGTTTAACCCATAAAGACACGAACGGTTAATTGCTTACTAATACCCACCAGGTTCTCTTACGAGCATGGCAACTATTGGCCATGGAGTTGTGTGATTTTGTTTCAACCACAAAGGAGTTAGAACAACCCTTAATAGATCTTGTGGAGAGCTGTTTGGCGGCAAATATCGAGTCTGGTTTTCGAACACCAATATTTACCAAAATCATCTGCGAGCGGGCAGAGTTTGCGTTTGTTATCATGCGCAGGCTCCAACAATCCATATCCACAGCCAATTCTGCAAGCCACTTCGATCGTATCTTAGGGCTCGCATGGAAATCCATTCAATCTTCAAGTTCAGAGTTTAGACAATCTCTTGCGACTGCGAATGTTAGCTATTACCGATCATTACTGCGGATCCTTTATATTGCACTCTACTCAAATTCCACCAAGGAACAACTGTCAACAGCGATGGCATACACTATTCTTGACATTCTGAACCTGGTTGTTACCAAGGGCTTCAAAGATCTTGCAACGGCTGCCCATGATTATCCCGAGACTACGAATCCCGACGACATCGCGCTCATTACGGCGATACTGCAAGCTGCCTTAAAGCTGAAGGGAATGGAGGTAGTCCACAGCGGATTAGGCATCCACATTCACGAAAATGGCACAATCAGAGTCGCTACCACGCTCTTTTCATGGTCAGAACAGTTGGCAATCGACGGCGACCCTGTGTATGGAGAACTGAGTGCTCTGTTTCTTCTTGAACTATCTTCGGTGCAAATTATCGCTGAACAACTTGCGGTTGAGGGGATACTTGAACTTTTAGTCAACAGCTCCCTGTCAAACAAGATCCGCCAAGGTGTATCGCCAACTTCCGATCCAAGATTATACGCAATCTGGAATAGAGGGCTGCTGCCTATTACCCTCAATCTCCTTACTCATATCGGGCCGAGGATCGCTAGGGAAGTTGTAGCATTCTTGCAGTTCTTTGGACCACAACTAGAAAATGCCGTTAGTGCATGGCAAAGTCACACCATGGTAACTCTATCGGCCGTTAACGAGGCTACAACGATTGTGATGCTCATGACAATATTGGCAAGAATGGGTGTTAAGGTAGACTCAGAGGGAAGCGGGCAAGGACTTAAGTTCGACAAGGCAACGCTTTGCGAGCAGGTGGATTATCTTCTTACCCACAAGACCTTCCTCAAGACACTTATCATGCCGACAAATCTGGAGGAAGAGGAAATGATGAAGAGAGGAGACGCAGAGGATAACGAGCTGACCGAGAAGGTCTTGAATGACATGGCGATATTACAAGGGCTTCTATCGGATGATGAAGCAGAGGAGTAGGGTTTGATGTGATCATGGGGTTAGGTTAATTTTACCACTAAAGCTGTTTTTCTTGATTTCTGGGAATGTGTATCGTTTTGTAGTTGTTGTACATTAGAGCAAAATATCAGGAGCGGATGAAGACATATATATGACAATGATGAAGTAGGACGTGCAATGGTCAGGGTCATGAGGCGTCACTCGATGAAATGTGGTTAAAACAACTGGTGTTAGGCGAATAGACAGGAGGACAGATATTAGAATAACTCATTTAAGATTCCATATTTCTATCCCATGGTAGCTACACGTATCATCATACCTGGCCTACGTTCGGGGGAGAAATAAAGTGTAAGAGCTGTTGATCCGTTTCGGCTTAGTTACCCTGTCTTGGCATACAGCACAGACCAGTTCACTTATCGCAGCCGCGTCGCTCAGTAACAGTCCCCAAACGAGCTTCCCCGCCATATCCCCCACCATCCAAAAATTACCAAACCCCGTCTTCAAACACATAGCTCCAGGAACCACTGTCAGATATGTCTGACGACGATTTTATGCTCGAATCTGACGGCGAGGAAGATACCGGAGTATTTGACTACACATCCGGAGAGGAAGATGATGACTCTGGGAACGTCGATGTCGAAAACAGCTACTACAACGCCAAAGGGATGAAGCAAACCGACCCACAAGCAGCCATCGATGAATTTCTAGGGGTTGTAGCATTGGAGGCCGAGAAAGGAGAATGGTATAAATGCCTTGAAGATGGCGGATGGAGCTTGAGGACCCAGCCAAGACTGATAGCTTGCTTGGCGATTTAGGGGATTCAAAGGCTTAAAACAAGCTATAAAGCTAGAGTTTAGATTGAAGCAGCACGAGATGGTAGCGAAACTCTCTGCCGATTTTGGTGATTGGGGGAAGCTCACTGACTGTCTTCGCGAACTATAGGCTGTAGAACACTATGCCGAGCTCCTAACATATATACGCTCCGCTGTAACACGAAACTACTCGGAGAAATCCCTCAATAATATGCTGGACTTTATCTCCTCATCGAATGATCCTGAAGATATGCCATACATGGAGAAGTTTTACGACATGACCCTCGAGGCGTTTCAGGGAACGAACAATGAGCGATTATGGTTGAAAACGAATATCAAGCTAGCGAAGTTATGGCTGGATCGTAAGGAGTATGGTCGATTGACCAGGAATGTCAGATTACTACACCAAGCTTGTCAGAAGCCAGACGGTACAGACGACCCATCAAAAGGAACATACTTGTTGGAGGTTTATGCTATCGAGATTCAGATGTACTCTGAAACAGGAAACAACAAGAAGTTGAAGGTAAAGAGTCGTCTAGAAGCTATAGAGCCCATAAAGCTAACTGAAGTGAAGGTTTTATACAACAAGTCTCTACGTGTCAGATCGGCTGTTCCCCATCCAAGGATTATGGGGATCATCCGTGAGTGTGGAGGGAAAATGCACATGAACGAAGGTGAATATCTAGCCCTAAACATTATTCCCAGCTCTTAGTTCTCACCTTTTGGTTAGAGAATTGGAAGGACGCCCAAAGCGACTTTTTTGAGTCTTTCCGTAACTACGATGAAGCAGGATCATTGCAGAGAATCCAGGTCCTGAAATACCTTGTCCTGGCTAGTATGCTCATGAAATCAGAGATCAATCCTTTTGAATCTCAGGAAACAAAGCCGTAAATACCCCCTGGATTCTGGTTCTGATAGTAGACTAACCCATCGTTTAGATACAAGACCGACCCTCGAATCGTAGCAATGACTGATCTTGTAGAGGCCTATCAACGGAATGAGATTCACAGATATGAATCTATTCTCGAAAAAAACAAAGCCGATATCCTCTCTGACCCATTTATTCGCGAACACATAGATGAAGTTACGCGTAATATCCGTACAGAAGCTCTTCTAAAACTAATCGCCCCCTTCACTCGCTTTACACTCGATTTCATTGCACGCCAGCTTCGTATTTCTGTCCCGGAGGTTCAAGAGATTCTTGGCTTCCTCATCTTGGATAAGAAGATCCGAGGGAAGATCAACCAGGAGAATGGAACAGTGCAGATTGAGAGCAACGTGGATGCCGAGCGTATGCACGCCATGAAGGAATGGTCATCTGCACTAGAGAGATTATCGACAACCTTGTTTAATGATGGCGAAGGCTTCAAGTCAGAAGACAATACCCACCTTGGTGGTAGTCAATCGTCAGTCATTTTTGAAACTCGGCGATAGTTTGTAAAATGGTACAGAAACTAGATATCAAACTTACGAAGGGTGGCCTACGTCGGAATTAATAGCCACCCCCATTTGAAGGGACTCTACGTGATGAATCGAAACTTCTTTGAAATCATTCTATCGCATCGTAACGAATAAAAGTTGTAACCATGTAAAGGTGTAGAATTTTCTCTTAGCTATCAACCCTCGTTGATTTAATTTATATATGTAGGTACACTATCATTATCATGTTTATTCAGCCCGAACCTGCCTGTCCAAGAAGTTGCGGGTTCAATCCTTTGCAGGACGAGAAGGAAGACCGTAATTTCATCGATCAGTTATGCTATTAATACGGGCCCAACTATTTATCACGGGCATCAAACCTGGCTCCATCAGGCTCCCACAAGAAAATGCAAGAGGCATCAGTAAACCCTCTTGAGAGTAAATAGACTTTACTTCTTTTGGGATGTTTCTGCTACAGGTGATAGTAATACTTTGAGAAATTGACGCATAATAGCATGATATTAAACCAAGCCTTTAACCTAAGCCTTTAACCTATAGAAAAATTAAATAAGATCCTATCAGGCAATTACCGTTTCAACAATTACTCCATACGCATGCTTTAATGGAGAGGATTAGACGCTGCGAAGTGAAGAATTGGATACAAAGTTAGCTAGATGGCAAAATAAATACATACATGTGTATCTTATCTCAACAAATAGTTTCCGGCTCTTAGAACCTTAAGTTTGTTATTGGCGCTTTATTAGCTCCCCGCCCTCACGGTCTTAGATTCTATGCAATTTCTACTTATATTTATACAAATGTTCGCCGGTGGCGGGATTACTTTGAGGAACGAGTGATTTCTGGTGGATCAAATACTCCACTTTGGGTTTCTGGATTTCGTGAGCACCAAAAACGCTTAAGGAGTATATAATTGTTAGTTGACTAGCCATTCTTAAGTTAATCATCATTTGGGAGATAATCTCAGCTTATGGCAAATCCTAGCACACAGTAAAACGCCTCTAATTCCGAGCTCAAAAAAGACCATTCACAAACGAATCCAAATACTAAAAAGCAGCAGCAGAAGAAAGAAAAAAAATCTATTTCTTTCACTCCCTCTCCAGCACATCCACATCTAACTCCTCACAAACCCTCAACACCGTACCCAAGCTCTCAAAGATGCCATTCGTCGACACCCTCAACATCCTCGCCGTCGTCGCCTTGTAGTGCACCAGCACCACCGGTGAAGAAGCTTTCTCGCTGCCGGGAACCTCAAACTCCCGCTGCACGTACGGCGAGATCTCCTTGTCGACAGCGAGCGCTCGCTGGATGGTCTCGGCGATGCGCCATGACGGTACCGGCAGTGAGATGATACTGGGGGTAAACGTTAGCGGTCAGAGCTTGCGATGGGCTACGCTGGGGGGTTCTCACAGTGAATGCGGGAATGCGGGATCGGGCGCAGGGGCGCCGGTTTTGTCTTCCATGGCCGCTTTTTGTGGGGTTGTGGGGGGGTATGGGGGGTGAGGTTGAAGGGTGGACTTGGCGGACTGGAGGTAGTTGAGATTGTTGGTGCAAGGGTTAACATTCGTGTTTTACGGTTTGGTAATAATCTCCAAAAGTAGATATGTATAAACTAGCCCTTATAAAGCCATATTTTATTACTCCCCGGAGCGCAGTTACTTGGTCTGACTGTAATGGAATGTGAACTATTAATTGGTCACGCATAAAGGCTCAAGTTAAGTCCATAACGTATGAGTTTCCTCGCTCCACAGATATGGTCAGATGGCAAGTATCTCCGGGGAGATTACGATCTGATGATGCTGTTGACATTTGCTATGAGACTTGATTTTGGGTGGCTTAAGGCCCCAAAAGCACTATCCCAAATGTCAATGATAAAATCCCCACCCCTACTACCCCCGCCAAGGCCTATCGAGCCTCAATCCATTTTGCACACCCCACCATACACACCCCACCACATCACAAAAAAAAAAAAAACACAACCAAAACCCACAATGAAGATCCTCACAACAAACTACATCAGCTGCGCCGTCAAGGCCTGCAAGTCCACCTCCCTCTCCTTCCCCCTGCACTTCCAAGACGCAGTGCTCGTCCAGGAAGAGGTCGACTTCAAGCCCGAGTTCATCACAAACATCCTCCCCCGGATCGAATGGGAGGCGCTCAAGATCACCGCCGTTGAGGTTTGGCCGCACATCCCAGAGAACTAGTGAGCGCAAACATTGCTAACGAGCGCGTAGCTAGGATTCACTACGTTGCCGGCGCAGAAGCCAGAGGCGACGGAAGAGGCGCCTTTGGACCCCCAGGTGCTGAAGGACCTGCATACCCTGCTGCTTGAAGTATGTAAAACTTTGGCGGCGCCTTTTGTGGTTATATGTTAGCTGATGGGGTGGGCGTGTTTAGACACAGGTGACGGAGGGGAAGCTGGTTTGTGCCAATTGCAAGCATGTGTATAACATTCACCAGGGCATTGCAAACTTCTTGCTGCCGAACCATCTTGGTATGCCTGTTCCTATACTTAAAGGGTGGGAGATAACTATGAGCTAACTGATGGGGAAGTCTAATCTAGTATAATTATATCTGACGACTCCGAGCTGGGTAGAACGGTCCAGCTCTCTCCCTCCCTACAGCACTCCCGCTCATAATGATCACCAATTTCTAAAAGGCGTTAACTGTTTTTTTTATTTCAATTATTCTTTCAATTCCTGGGATACCAAAAAAAAAAAAAATAATTTGATAAACACAATCTGCCCCCAGCAGTAAGAGCAGAGCAATATTTTCATGACACGCGCACGCGCAGACACGCAATTGACATTACATCTAACTACATACACACGTAACCCCAGCCTAATCCGCGCCCCCTCTCTCCTCTCCTCTCTCCCCCCTTGATCCGATACAATCCATTCTTTTTCCCAGTTTTCAAGCCATATCATGATTATTCACAAAAAAAAAGAGAAAAAAGAAAGAAAAAAGAGAAGGATGAAATAAAAAAAGACCCAAACACCTCCCAATTTATTTTTTAAAACGTCTTCACCAGTCCCTCTTTTCAAGAGGGACACTCCATCATCCGTTTCTTGATTTTCCCCCTTGCCTGCAACCTTTTTCACCAATTCCCACACTCAGTCCTCCTCGGCCCTGTCCTCCCACATTTCTCTCCGCACCCCGTATAACATGTTACGAACCCATACAGACCAAATCTACAAAAAAATACCCTGTAAGAAGGGTAAAGGAGTATTGAAAAAAAGAGACCTCATAAGTGCCAAAGTTAAGTACTAGACCCCCACCGTCAAAAATAACATAGTAAAAGTTGGGGGATAAGGGGTTGCGAGGGGGGAGAGTAAGGAGAAGAAATATAGTACACCGTATGCCAACCGGGATAGGGGAAAGGGAAAAAGTAACAAGATATCCGCCGCAGATACTACAACATAACTAATCCCGGAAAGAAAAGGAAAATAAGATCGTAAAACAAACACCGCGCCCTTTATCAGAAGTAAAAAATAAAAAGGAGAAAAGAAAAATCCCAGAATTTGAATCGAATCAAGTCCTGAACCAACAGGAAGTAAAAATGTTTCCAATAAGGGTGGTTCGAAGTAACAGATGTGCCCCAAAATAATCCACCTGGACAAAAAGAAAGAATAGCAATAACTTAGTAATGACACAAAACCAGATCGATCCCAGGTAGAGCTTTTTGGGAGCGAGATGCCAAACCAAAAAACCGAAAGAAGTGGAGGAATAGGAAATTATAATTAGGTAAGGGAGTAAAGTCCGTTTCTTGTTAGTTGAGGAAACCCTTGCAACCGCTCGAACCACACAAACATGGTATCCTATCATCACTTCCTAATTCCCTCTCGAACTTATAATCATATGTCAATTCCTCGTCTACCAAAGAATATAAGTTAGTGATTTCTCCAAGATTCCATAATACAAAGGTAAACCCACTCTCTTTGATGTCCCTCAACGCATAAATAACGATTCTCTTGCTCCCCTCCACCTTAATAATCTTTGCCGTACAATTCGGGGTACAACTGTGGTTAATAAACCTTGCAATACCACCCCTCTTTGTGGCATCAATGACTGTATTCTCGTCGATTCTGAATAGGTAAGATGATCCAATCCCACTCTTAAGATATTTTATTTCTCTCATGTCTGCCACCTGCTGTCTGACGATCTCACCAACATATTCAATGATCATGTCATTCGCTGCGATATTCTCCATGGCGTACAAGCCCCAGTTATGAATAGCCGACCTTGCGAACCTGACAGGCTTCTTCCGCTTCTTGAGCTGGTTGAAACGCATCACGTCCGCATCGGATGAGAATATTTGCTTCTGGTTCTGAAGATTTGCAACGAGACGACGATTATTGACACGATTGGATCGGGATGTGGAGCCCGCCGCCTTGGTGATTGTAGTGGGTGCAGATGGAGAAGGTGGCTGGTTCATTGCTGCACGCTTGGCGGCGACTTGCAGACGGTGGGGAAGATACATTGATTTTTCCCTTTCAGGGATCTTGCGCCATCCCTCTGTGCGAGCACACCCGGTTGGATTGGGGCGATAAAACCCATCAATTCTTTCCTGAACTCGTGTAGCTCCTAAGAAACAGTCAGTAAAATTGAAGTTAGACCGGGAATCTGATGTTAGTGAGAAACTAGGCTCACCCCTCATACCCTCCCTATTCGCCGCCTTCATTTCCTTTTGTTTGAACGCCCATGCAGCGACGTTGCCGAGATCTGCCGGCTCGACATCCTCTTCGGCAAGTGCAATTTTTAGGAATTTGAAGTCCTCTTCATCTTTCACCAAAGTCTGCCAGCCGTCAAGATCCAACACCATATCTTCATCGTCCTCCACAGCCGGAATGGGGCCTTCAGCAGTCGAAACCCCCCAAGAGACATCCACCACCTCCTTCGGCACATCTTCATCTGTATCCTCATCTTCCACTGCGAGTTGCCTGGCAACTTGTAGAGCCTCCGGAACCTCAACTGGTACAGTATCAGTTTTGGATTTAGTCCCAGATACCCCTAGCTCCTTCCCTGTTTTCAGTGCTGTCTTTATAGCTATTGAGTCATTAATATCATCATAGTCATCTGTCACATTGACAATCTCATCTTCATCATCAACTGGAGGTCTCCGAGAGGGAGGTGGTCCTTGCTTCCTTTTCCTGTTGCGCTCCACCGGTTTCGCCACGATACCCTCATCTTCACCTTCGCTCTCGCTTGATGTAAAATCAATATCACATTTCCTCTTCTTATTCTCATTGGACTTGGCGGATTTTGATGGAGCACCTTCTGCATCGTCCTCAGCACTTTCACTAACCATCGGACTCCTCTCATTGTCAGATAGACGAGGTTTCTTAGACATAATCTGGTCCTTAGTTTCCATGCGCTCTTCCTCTGGTGTAGGCTCCTCTTCATCTGACGATACAGCAGTATCCCGCAGCTTTGATGTGGGCCCAACACTTCCTCTTTTTCTCTTTAGATTCCCAATATGATCTACCAGTGGTGAATTGCTCGTAGAGTCATCATCTCCGATGTCCGTCGACAACCCACGCGATATGGGTCTATCCCCTGTGGCTGTCGACTCGTCGTCTGAGCCACCTTCTGAATCATATTGGTTAAGACGATGCGCAAGTGGACGGGCATCCGCTTTTGTAGGCTTTTTAAAACCATTTGTCTTTGGGCGCTCCTCCTCCTTCTTTGGTAGGACTCTCTTCTTGAATCGCGGGAGTGCGACCTTTACCGGATTTGTAGACATAGATTTGATGGAAGTCTTGGCAATTGAGTTTGAAGACAATATAGATTGAATCGGCGTAGCAAAATCATTGACCGCCCGCGAAGCATTACCTGGGGGAACTACTTCATTTGTTGCAGCGGAGATTTTCGATTCCGCCTCTTCAACCCTACGTCTTTTATGGAGCTTACTTGATTCCAGAGAGTCGTAGATTGTCGGTGCGACAATTCTCTTTTTGAAATCGTTCATGAGCGCAGTTTTCATCTCTTTCATCAAAGCATCAGTAGTCTCAGCCAAATAATCGACTTTCACCTCGACTATTTTGGGGGGGTTGCGAACAGGCGAAGGGGTTCGAGTTCCCCCAGGATGCATTTCCATGAGCATTTTGTAGGAGAACAATCTGTCCCCATCGCATACCCGAAAACACTTTTCCATATCTCTTTTTTCCCAAAAGACAACATAGAATCCCGTCCTATCACAGAGCACGGTTTTTAATCCAAAATTCTTTAGGCGGCCCTCCAGATGTCGCACATATCGCTGATCCCCGGGAATACATCGTGCGGTAATGAAGATATAAGGCCATCGCCCAACATGATCCAATGCCCTATAGTTCTCTTTCTGTGTTTCTGCTAGTCGTGAATCTCGTTCCCGATCCCGGTCTCGGTCGCGGTCTCGGTCTCGGTCCAGAGCTCTACTTTCTTTCCGAATGGGCGAGGCACCTCGACCCCTCGATGGGGATTCCGCACGGTATGACGGTCGTATGTGATCTTCCCTAGGCATAGGCGGTGGCTTTGGTCGATTCTTTGCAGCTTCTTGCTCTTTCCGTCTATTTTCTTCCACAATTCTTCCTGCTAGTTTCTGTAATTTTAGACCATCCCTATCCAATTCCACTCTAATCTTTTGCAATCCAATCGTTGTTCCATTACCGCCGACCACCGCTTTTTTAGCACCTTCATGAGCCGGGGACTTGGTCCTAACATTATCGCGATAAAGAATAGAACATATCCCCAGCGAACCACCCGTTGCCGGATCAACCTTGACCGCAATTTTCGAAATTTCACCATATGCCCGGAAATGCATCGAGATTTCATTCTCCGTGGTAAGCGCCGACAATCCCGAGATTAAAATTTGCGACGGAGGACCTGGTCCGATGTAATTCTCGTCCCACTTCCACCATGTCCGGTAGAGACCTGTACGAAGTCGCTTCTTGCCTAACTTTGGACCCTTTGTGTAATCCGGAATGGCTAGTCGGGGGTCTGTGATGGGACCGGAGACCTACTCACGTTCAGTCAGTTGTGAGCTCTCCGTCCCCCGACATCGCCGTAGCTCGACCGGGATAGGCGTGTGGCGAGGGAAATTGGAAGCAACAAAAATGTAAAAACGTACCCCTTCACCGTCGAACCGTACTATTGTATCTTTGCTCTTCTTCGGAACACCTTTCTCTTCAAGGGCTGGATCATACTTGAGCCTCCAGTTTCTCTTGGTTGGATCCTGCTTGATCGCGGGAATCGCGGGGGGTGTCCCTTTGGGTGTCGGGAGTGCAGGGGGGGGTGGCGGTAATGGAGGAGGCTCTTTGGAGGCGTATGATTGTACAAGAGATACCTGTGGTCGCGGTGGCAGACTATGTTTTGGGGCAGGAAGCACAGGGAGCGATTGTGTCGTGATCGCGGAAGAGCGATTATTGCTTTGGAGTAAATGACTCGGCAGAGCTGTCTTCGTTACTGTCTGGGTTGAGGTAATGGTGGAAAAGTTTGTTGAATTTGAAGTAGTATTGGTCAGGGAATTTGAAGATAGTGCGCCGTTAGAGGTGTCCCGATCATAGTCCCGATGAGATCTCTGGCGGGATCTTTCCCGTTCAGCCTGAGCCTTCTTCTCAGCCAAAACCGAGGGGGCAGCGGGGAAGAAGTCGGCATAGCCTGCGCGCGACATTCTGCTGCGAAACTTACAGCGGAAGTTGCATCTACAGTGGGCGTGAAGCTAGTGAAGTGCCGTTGAAGTTAATGAGGCGATTTGGGGGTTGATGGTGCAAGCTCGAAGAGAATGTTGGCGGGCTGGTCGAGTTTGAGAAATAGAACTGTGTGTTCGCGTGTGTTTTGGGCGGGGGGTGGACGCGAAGAAACAAGAAAAGCAAGAGACTGCAAGGGGAGGGGTGTGGGGAAGTTTTGCCAAATGAAGGATAAGACTAGCAGAAGCTAGACTAGCAGTAATGGGATTATTGAATGGTGTCAGAAGCGAGCGGAAGAATGGAAAATGGATACAGTAAAAAGAGAAGTGAAGATGGACACTGAGCAGGGGGAGAAAATGCGAGGGGCGTTCCTTCCTGGGAGAGAGAAGCAGCTGCAAGAAAGTCCCAGGGAGGCGTCAGATTCCAGTTGGTCGGTCAGTCAGTTGGTCGGTGGTAGGTGTAACTGAGAGAATGGCAGAGGACAAAATATTAACAAGGACCCAGATTGATGTCGATGGGAGAGAAAGTAAGAATGTGTGTGTGTGAATTTCCAAGGAAATAGACACCGCCAGAAGGTTATAGTTAGGCGTAGCAGTGGGTAGTAGCGCTGTGTGGATGGAGGAAGCGTGTCGTGACTCGTGACAGCTCAAGAAGCCTTGACTGATGGAAATCGCGAAAAACGATGACCGACAGGCTCAGGCAATAAAGAAGGAAACGTAAGAAACAGAAGGAAAGAAAGAAAGAAATCCTATCCTATCCTATCTGTGGGGGGGGTGCAGAGGGGCCTGTTGTGGATGTGGTGGTGTTGAGATTGGATAGCCCGGCTGGCTGTCTGGCCTTACAGAAGAACTTCTAAAAACTATCACAGTGTTCTCTGGTTAATTTTGAAGGAAACGAGGCGCGGTGGTGACGCCGTGACGGAACGTGGAGACACCCACGACACAGGTACACACAGAAAACTTCGAATTTCCCTCCTGACTTGAGGTGCTAGTACGTTATGGTCATAGCGTTGTTCCCATTGCGGCTTAGAACACTGGCCGTTTGGATGTGGATCCTGCGCCCTGCCTCTTCATCCTTCGTCCCGCTGCTGCTCTCCCTGCGAAGCGTATGTACCTGCTGTGGGTACATGTTGGTATGGATAACCCCCCTCACCGCTCTCTACACAGATACACTCCAGCTCCAATACCCGACTCGATCTCTGCAGCAACTCTTCCCCTCCCACACTTACCGCTTGATGGAATGAACTGCCCTCAGTTCTTACAGATGGTCGCAGACAGATGCAGCAGCGCCCACTCCTAGCTGGCCAGGTTGACGCATCTCCCGAATTAAGAGTCACCGAACCTATCTGCCCTCTTCCTGGGAAATGACGACATAACCACAACCACAACATGCATAGATATCTGACAAAGCGGTTTGCCAATACCGCCGTATATTCTGTTTGATATGTTTGCTTTAAGAGTGTTGGTGTAGTAACGAACGAAGCCTTCATGCGGAGAGGGCTCCTGGTCAACATCGCCAACAATCGACCTTTGCAACGGTAAATGTTAGGCGTCGCTCAACAACAGCATTTTTGTACGTTGGAGAAATTTTCCAGCAATGGCTTCCTATTGGAAAGATTCGAAAACTAGCAGCGCTAGGATGCGAAATCCATACGACGACATCAAATCCCTTATGGTGACACTCCAATCCTCAGCCTGTTTATTCTCGGCGGTTGATATCACAAGCCAGCAGCAGCACTTGGCTTGAGGAACGGCCCTCCTAGTGGGAGATTCGCCGAAAAACTAAGAGATGCAGATTGACGAATGTCGTTGGAATTGTTATCTTAGGTTGGAGGACTTCACAGGTTGCGCTTTGTCCTGGAGGCGATTCGGCCGGTTTTAAACGTGTACCACTGTTGGGTAAAGGTCCGAGCGAGTGATTCTCTGTGATGAGTGACTAGCACATTACACGTACAGCTGTAGTTAACGATCACCTTATCTTATATACATTTATTCCATTTACCAGGCCCCATTTAGTCTACTCTTCCTAGCTTGAATCAAGTGATAAACAATGCGTCTATATGGGATTTGTTCGCAAGGGGAGCTCGGCACAACTAGTAGCCTTTATCTGTGATGGGATGGAGTTTACCTTGGGGACGTAGGCTGTCCCCCGATAGAGCTTATCGATTTTATATATATATACCCTTAAAGCTTCAAATTGTGCATTTAAACAATAAATTCGATAGTCATTGATACTGGCTTGCTTTATAAAACCATGTAGGTACATACATATGTTTCTTCCTAAAGAAATCTGTCTATCAGACCGTCGGGACTTCTAGCTGGTCGCTAGTTTATTTAAATACTTTTCAACTCATGGTACCTCGGACTCCGGTAAGTATATCAGGTTGGAGCTCTAAAAGTTCATGCAGAATTGAAACATCGCGTGTGCCAAGCAATCGTGTTTCTTCTTTAGTAACCAACCAAAGCTGCCACGAGAGCCTCCCGCCAACTGCCCCCTGCGAGTATCTCAACAAAAAAGAAACCACCTAATCATCTTGACCTAAACATATTCACCTCGAGGCTTTCGAGCCCTTCTCTTATCCTCTGTATCGCAATCAACGAAAATCTACAATGAGGGTATCATCAACCCCGTTAGCATCTCTACTAGTCGGCTTTGCTGCCATCCTGCCAACAACCCTCGCTGTCTTTCAAGACGAGGCTTTCCAGAACGACTGGCATATCCCACTTCTGGGCCCTTCGCTCCGAGAATCTACCTTCTTTCACCGCCCCCTCCTAGATGCGAAAGCGAGCCTCATATATACACTTACAGAGCGCAATATCATTGCTGCGCTGCATCCAAAAGATGGCGGGATTGTATGGAGACACCAGCTGGAAGCTTGCGCATCCAAGAAGCTGGCTCGAGCTGTAGAAGGTGTTGTTGTGGCTGGCAGCTGTGGGAATGTCAAAGCGTTCGACGCAGTGACAGGAAAGCTAGCCTGGGAAAATAGATTCGAGGGTGGGAATGTGAAAGATTTCAAGTCTGCGGGCAAGGAAGACGCAGTGGTAGTGCTTTTTGATGATGGTAGTGTAAGAATGTTAGAAGGTGGGAGTGGGATTGTTATGTGGGAGTGGAAAGGCCTCGATGCGTATGTTCCTCATCCATATGTGCTGTTGAGAGAGCTGTTTATTAACTCAATGGGACAATCGTAGGAAAGATACACCGTATTCGATCTCTGTAACGAGTGATAGTGTCTTGGTCGTTTCTGTTCAGCCAGAGAAGACATCGAACAATATGCATATCACTAGCTTAGTGCTTGAGTCCGGTTTGCCTGCTAAATTCTCCCGCGATTTGCGCTCATCTGTTGAATCGGTGGACAATATTCTCAGCTCTGATGCCCTCATGGCCTGGACTGAAGATGATTTCCGAATTCTAAAAATGGTTCCTATCAGTGGGGGTAGGCTCTCCGGTGAGAATGTCAAAATCCCAGAAGGCGTCATCGATATCGAGGTCCATACCGATAGCGACAATGTTGCACTAGTGCACTACAAAACTGCGGACAAATCATGGGGAACAGCTTACAGATGGGACTATGAGTACGGCCCAGTCATGTCCTATTTGGATATTGAAGAAAAACCCGGTGCGGATAGCACATTCTCAATAAGCAAGTCTGGAGGTCAGACGTTTTTTGTCTGGAGCTTTGCCAACGGAGAAGCATTCCTATACGGAGAACAAGGTCAATTGGCCGAATACAGCCCTAAATTTGAATACAAAGGGAATCATATCACAAATGCCGCTTCGGAGGTTATCACTAGATCTGACGGCGCCTCGTATGCAGTTCGCTCGTTCATATCAACTTCCGCCCCCGGATTTAAAGGAAACACCCACCTTGTCCGTAATGGCGATCTAGAATGGACTCGCAAGGAGTCCTTGGCCTCTGTTTCGGTATCTACATTCGCTGAATTATTGGATCCCGCTGCCGAAAAGGTTGCGAACGAGCTGAATGCCGAGGGGCACAAAAGTATTGGTGCTGCCTACGTTCATCGTCTCACTAGACACGTGCAGGAACTTATCGAATACGGGCCTGCTTGGGTGTCTGGTATTCCAGTAAGAGTCATGGATGCGTTTTTGAACAAGGAGAAAGCGGAGATTGGCGGGAAGTGGAGGGACTTCTTTGGATACAGGAAATATGCAATTGTTGCTACTGAAGAAGGTGGTCTGGCGGCATTAGATATTGGAAAGAAGGGGGAGATTGCCTGGGAGTCCAATGTTCTACCAATTGAGGGTGAATGGAAAGGTGCTCTCGGAGTCTACGAAGTCTCAAAGGGGGTCGTCGCAGTTGTCACTAAGGGAGGTGAATACCTCGAGTTTGATGCATTTGAGGGCACCATGCTTCACAGGGAGAAGATTCCTGGTTGCGGAACCATCAAGAGCTCTAGCACTGTAGATGGCATTGGCCGCAAACTCGTCCTTGCCGTTCTCAAGTGTGGTAAAGTCATGGTCCTCCCCTCAGGTTCACCTCTCCCGGAAACCGTCTTTCTCGCTGTCCAAGACGATGCGGGTCATGCGAAAGGCCTCAAAGTAGCCTCCTCCGGCAAGCCCGAGCAAACATGGGTCTTCAACCCTCCCACAGGCGAGCAAATTGCCTCGATCTCCACCAGGCCTGCCCACGATCCCATTGCATCTATTGGCAAGGTCTTAGGCGACCGCTCAGTAATGTATAAATATATCAACCCACACCTAATCTCGATCGTTACCGCAGACCCCAACGGCTCAACAGCCTCAATCCACCTCCTTGACTCTGTCTCTGGCGCCGTCCTCCACTCAGCAACACACACAGGCGTTGACACTAGTAAGCCCATTGTATCCACTGTCTCTGAGAACTGGGTTGTATACAGCTACTACGGCGATGACACCATTCCCGGCAAGACTGCCGCTAAGGGCTACCACCTCGTCGTCTCTGAAATCTTTGAGAGTGAGCAGAAGAACGATCGAGGCCCACTCGGCGGCGCCCAAAACTACTCTGCGCTTGCCGGTGAAACTGGGGAACCCTTCGTGCTCTCACAATCATTCATCTTCCCTGGTGAGATCACGTCTCTAGCGACTACTACTACCCGCCAAGGCATCACCAGCCACGAAATCTTGGCGCTACTGCCAGAGTATTCGTCGATCTTGGGACTGCCAAAGCGTATGCTTGATCCTCGTCGCCCAGTGGGCCGCGATGCAAATCCTGGGGAGGTGGAGGAGGGCCTTGTCAAGTACTTCCCTGTCATTGATGCGGATCCCCGTGGTATGTTGAACCATAAGCGAGAGCTTGTGGGCATCAAGAAGATTGTTACTACACCGGCGCTATTGGAGAGTACCAGTCTTGTATTCGCGTACGGCGGTGATCTCTTTGGTACAAGAGTGACGCCCAGTATGGCGTTTGATGTGCTCGCCAAGGGGTTCAGTAAGATTCAGCTTGTTGGGACAATTGTGGCGTTGGGTGTGGGCGTGGGCTTTGTGGCGCCCATGGTGAGGAGGAAACAAATTAACCAGAGGTGGTCTAATAGCTAGACCTTATGTTATAGAACTAGATCCACTGTTTGTTTGTTTTTGTTTACTGGCCTGGCTGTGCAGTTGAGCGCGCATGGGGATTTATTTTTATTTATGTATTTCGTAATGATGAATAGTGAATTAAAGTTGGATGAACAGGAAAAATTTGGGAAGGGTGGGAATATCATATGTTGGTAATTGGTTCATGACTTTCATGACTTCTGCGTTCTTCCCTTTGATCTACAAGCTTGGCGTATAGAATCTACTCAAAGTTACAATACTGTAAGGGAATTGTAAGGGTAGACTTCCATTCATGGAAAAGAAAATAGACCTGATTTACGTACTCCATCCTTTGAGCCCAAGGCTCATAAACAGGCCCCACTGGTACATATGATATTACAACTCTCCTACGCTCAGCTGCTAGGGGATCTTTTGATTAGTATTTCCGGGTCATTATCGTCACGAAATATCACTCGCATGCTATAAACCCGCAAACTCCTGCGCAGCCTCCCGCAGAGCCTTAACGGCACCGTCCCTAACGGAAACTACGACTTCTCCCGCTGGCTGCAGATCTTGGATCGACCCAACACCCGTTCCACTGGAGCAGCCATGTCAGCACCATAACCACACCATACATACACAGACATGTGCACATGAAGATACATACCAAAACATAGTCAATCTCTCCCAATCACCGGATGCAAGTGCCTTCTCGTACAGCTCTCTGTTTTCTGATTCCGCCATACCGCTCTCATCATCTCTAAGTGTTCCGTTCATTGCACCGCGCCCATTATATTGCTGTGGCCAGAACCCGGTTCCGCGCAGGGTATCGAATATTCGAGTTCTTCCCCTTGGGGTAAGCATTGGGGAGCTAAGAGGGGTACTGAGATTTGCATACCTAGTCGTATTCTGACCTCCGTCTGAGAGGTTCAGAAGGTACTCCTTGAACCCATCTGCTGCAGCGCATTCGGGAGTCAAGATAAACTACAGCCCGCCAGTCAGCTCAGCTAGTACCCAACAGCCATAGCACCAGAGATTCCCACCCTAGTCCCCATTACAACACCGCTCGCACCTACACCACCCCACATTAGCAATTCTGCCCACGCTACTTACTGTCCTCCCATAGTCACCCCTCCCCACCTACCTAAAGCCAAAGCCGCTGCCGCACCACACCCATCCACAATTCCCCCCGCTGCAAGCACCGGTATCACTCTCCCGCTCTCCCTGATGACATTCCTAAACTCCGGAACAAGCCCCACCACACTCGCGCCACGACACAACCCATGTCCCCCCGAGTCTGCAACGCCCTGCGCAACGATGACGTCTATGCCCTCGCCCGCAGGACCAGCCAGCAGCGCTTTGAGCTCCTTTACGGAGCCGAGCTGGACGAAGATCTTGATTTCGGGATAGTGGGACTTGGTGTTGATGATCCAGGTGTCGAGCTGCTCTGCAGTTTCAGGCGCAAAGAACCACACTGCGACTGGCGGGTGGGACTTCAGCGAGCTGAGGAAGAGTGAGAGATCTGCGCGGAACAGGATCACGCCTATGCCGATTGGGAGGGGTGTTATGTCCGGGAGGAGAGAGTGTGTGTGGGCAAGATTGGCGGAGAGATTGGTAAGGTCAAAGCCGGCGCCCAGGAAACCTAGCTGGGTATTAGATACGGCTGGTAAGAGTATACTACGTGGGGGAAGAGCTTACCTAGACCGCCGGATTTATATACGGCGGTAATTAGATCGGGCCCGGTGGTACCTAGCATGGGGGCACTGCATATGAGGGGTGTTTTCGTAAACGAAAACATCGACTTGAGGAGAGCAGTTTCTTTCGACATGATCAGTTGCAGTATCTCAGCCAAAGGACTAAAAAATGATATATTGAAGTCTACTATCCAAGAGTTTTCAAGCTCCTCGTGGGAAGACAGGGCATTTATATCCAGTAATAGCGAATTTGTAAGCTATGGTTTTAGCAAACTTCTATCTCCGTTTCTCCGGAGTACTAGAGTGAGAGAGAGGAGGGAACCACCAACGAAAAAGGCACACGACGTCGCAGTTGACCAATCGCTAGCTAGTAGTTCATATCAAGCCGCAATACGATCATTGACCCCCCCCCCCTCTAAACCACACGGTAATTCTCGGCACTCTCTCGGGGCCCAGCACCGCGGATGTTCCGTAATTCTCTTTGTTTTGAGGGGGTTTTCTTCGGTTACAGGTTTGAGTGCTGTACTGGGAGCTCCCTGCTACTGTGAGTCATTGGAGGCATAATGGGTAAGGAGAGGTTTGATAGTGGTAGAAGTAAGTAAGGTTAAAAGAGTTTTGCGAATGTAAAGGGTGTTCTGGAAATCATCAGAACCTCTTACAGCAGACATTATTGATGCGTACATCTTTTGCAGTCTCGTTGAATCCGGATCAGGTATCACTCATATCAGCCTCCAGGTGCATAAATAACCACCTACAGATTCAAACGCCCACAAGGAGGCCACTAGGGGGGGTTTAACTAACTCCCTCTCTATGAGAGGACGTCATCTCATAAACTTTATAGCATTAAATACTATGACATACGTGTAATTATCAGAACTCAGAGATATAACTAATACGTGTACTTTATTAGCCATCCATCATCATCAGTCCTCTCTTTCTCTCAAGCAATTTACTTCAACCATTCAGTCTACATGGATTATCTACTGTTTCATCATACTATCAGTATGTAATTCCAGCTATTTCCGCCTAGTACATACTACAATCCTCGAATCAAGCCAAATCCGAAATTGAGATGAAATAATGGCTGACTTTATTAGAATCACGCTTACATTCTCATGGGTTAGGGATGCTCCTCCAAGTTCAAAGGAGATTTTATTTTAGCTCTCTACATAGAGTATACATAATATAGCATGCCAAATCACGGCACTGCACTGCGCCCCCGCCTAAAACGCGTTTTTCTACGAAATAAGGCCCTTCTAGACTGGACTTGCCATGACGAAATGTGACATTTGGAGAAGCTCACCGGTCAGTTTTCTACTACATACCAACAGATTCAGGCAACCGATAACGGACGCAGTCACGTGGGGGGGGGGGGGGGGGGGGGCGCCACAGTGACTAACACTAGCAGCTCAGCGAGTGGGTATTTATTAGATGTCACTTCTCCGCACCTACATCCCCCAGCTCCCCCCCCCCCCCCCTTTCCAACATTCTCGTGAAGAATAGAAAAATCCCCCACATTCATTCTCTTGACTGGGCTGCTACTACTAGTGCTGTACGATTTGAACAAACCATCCCGCCGGCTAAGTGACAACATTCCAATCGTCGCTTATATCATCATCCTCAAACTTTAAACTTTTTTTTTGCGCGAATATTATGAACTCTTTCAGTTTCATTTACTCTCCAATAAAAGACAATGAACCCTCAAGAGCTCGCCGATCAGCTAGCAGAACTCCAAGTATGACAAAACGGAGAGGAGTTCTCAGGCAGGGGTGTATAACTAACGTCTGCCCAGATCGAATTCTCCTCATTGGACTCGTCTCTCGTCGCGGCGATACTTAGTGACACAGAGTCCCCCGCGGAAGCCCGAAAAACACTCGGGGAGCTCGCCCTACTCACCCAAGTCGACGACAGCGTCGATAACAACTCCCCGGAACTGTCAATCAGCGATGAGACTGATCCGACTACCTACTCGCTCTCCTCATGGCGCATAGAGGACGACGAGGATGACGCTCTTGGGGCTAAAGACAATGCGACATTCTTGGGGTATATGTTCCCATCGTTGTCGGCCTTTTCGATCAATGCAACCCTTGACAGGTGTCAAGGAGACCTCGCGCGCGCAACCGACGAGCTCCTCAATCGCGTCTTCCTCGCGGATGACCCTGAGGACGATGTGGTGCGCGGCGTAGACGGCTTTGATGCGGGTATAAACGGCGGCTTAAAGGGGAAAAAGAAGGGCCGTAAAGGGCGCAAGAATGGGAAAATGCTTACCCTTGAAAACGACCCACCTAGTAGCCAGGTGCGCCTAACGGTAGGCTCCGCAAACACAAACACCAATGACGCCCCCTCTAGATGGGAGGAAATGGCATCTGAGATATCCTATCTTTCAAACACCCTTGGTCTATCTGAGAAAGTGGTTGGGGCGGCGTATCGCCGCCATAGTAGCGCACTTGGCCCTACAATCGCGACTCTGCTGGAAGAAAATTTCCCCAGCGGTGCTGTACTCGACCCAACGCACTTAGCCCAACTCCAAGAGCTATCCGCGAGCTTTGGTGGCAGCGTGAAGCGCCGACACCTCGAGGCCCTGCTCCATCTCTGTAGAGAGAACACACCAGCCGTCTTTAGACTCGCCGATGTTCTCAGCCTCGAACCCAAACCCACTGTCCAAATCGTGAGCGCCACCACCCCTACCACCCCCAAATCTCCTCGCCCCATTCCCCTCAACGGCTGGGTCGCCGTCGGCGGCTCCTCCGCCGCCCGCTCGGTCCCCAACTCCCCACCCGTCTCCCCCCGCTTCCAGCAGCCCCGCCCGCTCCAAAACCTCTCCGCACAGACCACCGCCCGCAACGAAGCCTTCGCCAAAGCTGCCGCCTCCTACCGCAAGTCCAAATCCGACCACCTCATGGGCGGCGCCGCCGCCTTCTACTCGGACGTTGGCCACAGCCACCACGCCGCCGTCAAGAGCCTACGCGAGGAGGCCGCACACCAGTATGTCACGGCCAACAGCACGCTCAACAACCTCGACCTGCACGGCGCAACCGTGGCGCAGGGCGTGCGGTTTGCGCGCGAGAGGACCACAGACTGGTGGGTGCGGCAGCGGCGCGAGCAGGAGCTTGCGGGCGGCGGCAGGCGTGAGGTCACGCCGTTCCATATTGTGTGTGGCGCGGGGAGACACAGTAAGGATGGGATTCCGCAGCTGCTGCCGGCGGTGACGAAGATGCTGGTGAAGGAGGGGTGGAGGGTGGTGTGTGATCATGGGAAAGTTGTGGTGGTGGGTGTCAGTGGGGTCAGGGCGAGGCAGAGGAGCTTATAAAGACTGGCTGGCTGGCAGGCATATGGCTCCTTGTGGCGTGACTGTCTATTGTTTTTTTTGTTTTTTTTTTCTTCCTTCTGCGGGGCAGGGGGGGGGGGGGATACCAACATATATTGTCATTGTGAGGTCTTTGGCCTGGAGCTTTATTTAGTTAGATCATATAGATATCATTCCTTGTGTAGATGGATGTGATCTTATCTAGACTAGACTAGACTGGCTAGCCTTGATCGAATTAGAATGGGGGGCTAGTAGGAGAAAATAATAATCATTGGATTGGTTTTTGCTAAAAAGTTCTTCATGCATATATATCGCACTTCATTTCAGAGAGACACTCTCAGTAAATGTGTTTCTTTAGCGAATCCGGCCACAATACCACTCTTTTTTTTTGACTCATCTCTTGGGCGTAGCTGCACAACGATCGTTCACGTAATCGTGGTAGGGTAAAAGCATTCCGGTAGCAAGCACCGTATCATATCATAAACCGCTATCTTCAAATATGCCGTGTAAATGCCAATGTGCACATTCCAGTAATCACAGCCCATACGAATACCTACGCTGTCCGTCCATCCGCCTGAAGAGTAAACAGTCAGTACATACAGCGCCTACATACTCTTACTCTACACGCAACCGGCAGAACACCGTCCTCCGTGATTGTTCCCCCCGATAAAAACAAAAATTACGCCCACCATTATCATTGTCATTGTCATTGGCTATGTCATCGCGACCTCCAAAGCTGACTACTACGCTCAGTCGGCAAATGCTCCTGCTTACCCTAACTCTAAGTCCCTCCTCCACTAGCGCAAGCCGGGGGTACCTGACCGGATGTTCGGTACCCGGGTAGAAGCGAGTCGATGTCGCTTGTGTAACCATCGAAACGCCCACAGCAACCGACCGACCGTTCTAACCACTCTGGCCCGATACTCTACTAGGAATCTAGGACGGACTGCATGTTCACGTGCTAGACCTCGGTCTTGGGCTTTGGAGGGTGTTTGGGAGAGAGGGAGTGTTGGGGCAGAGGAATGGAGTGTGTGTCGTTATATATACACTCTTGCACGAAGAACTGCACTTTACCTCGAGTGCTGTTTGATGTCTGACATCTGGGTCGTCGGCGGTCAGGTCAGTTGGGCAATCGGTCAGGTCAGGCCACATACACATGCGTCACAGACCCCGGGATATGTATATGTGAATATCCCAGCTACATACCTACTCTACTCTGCGCAGCTACAAGAGGAAGCCCGGAGATCGGCGCTTGGGGAATTAGTAAAAGTGCGCCCTCTTCTCTTCCCCACTCGCTCTCTTTCTCTCTCTCTTTCTGTTTCTCTTTGTCACTGTCTCCTCTGCATCTCTGCATCTCTCTCTGCATCTCTGCACAGCACAAGAAAGAACAAAAGAAACAACAAGATGTCGCAGCCCAAAATGGGAGTTCTCGACCTCGAGAAGCAGCTCCTCTCCGTAAGATCCCCTCCACAGCTCCCACAAAGGCAAAATCAAACGCTAACACCACCATGCATGGCTAGTACGCCTCCTACCACCACAACCCCGTAACTCCCCCCTGCCCCCCCCCGGGCCCTCCCCGCCCCCTCCCCGCCCTCCCCGCCCCCTCCCCGCAGGCGACACTAACAAACACCCCGCAGCACAACATCCTCATCCACCTCTTCGGCGTGCCCGGCATAATGTTCACCGGCTTCCTGCTCGCCACCAACACGCCCTCGCTCCTCGACCTGCCCTACATCCCGCTCAACCTCGGTGGCATCGGCTCGTTCGTCTTTGCCGTCTTCTACATTCTCATGGAGCCCGTCGCCGGCCTGCTCTTTGCGCCGCTCATTGCGGCCATGATGGTTGTTGTCAACCACCTCACGGCCACGTATGGCGCGACGGCGACCTGGTGGGCGTGGTGTGTGTTTTTGGCGAGTTGGGTGGTGCAGTTTATTGGGCATGGCGTGTTTGAGAAGAGGGCGCCGGCGGTGCTGGTTTGTTCCCCCGACCCCGTCGTTCCATGGAGAGATAGAGGGATAGATTGATGAGGGAGAGAGAGGGGGAACGAGTGGGGTGGAGAGGCTAGAGGTGCATGCTGATAAGATGTGGATGTGCAACAGGATAATCCGATACAGCCGATCCTACTGGCGCCGTTCTTTGTCTGGTTTGAGATCTTGTTCTATTTCGGGTATCGGCCGGAGCTGCAGGCGCGGATCGAGGAGAAGGTTGTGCTGGAGCTCAAGAGGCTCCAGGACGAGAAGGACATGAGTAAAAAGAAGGCGTGATTGGTCTACCAGTCTGCTATGTAGCTCTAGCTACTAGCTATGTAAGGTAAGTAGATGGGTATATGTATGTAGTTTAGTGATGATGCCTTTTTTACTTTTCTTTTCTTCCTTTTTTTTCGTTTGCACTGTCCGGTCCGGTCCTGCTGGCTTTTTTGCGCGTGGGTGTGTGTGTGTGTGCGTGGTTTTGTTTTGTTTTTCGCAGCCAGTGGGGAATTCGAAATGTTCTGCGTTGGTGTGGAACTTTGTAAAGAACTTCCATTTGCGTCTTTTGTCTCTCTACTCGTAGATTCATGACGTTTCCGAACACGACTGCCCTTGCATACCATACAAAAAAGTGCCAAATCCACCTTTTTGTATGTCATGCAATATTGGTCGTGTTCGGAAACGCTATGAAGCTACGAGTAGAGTACTTACTTTAGCTGTCAGGACGGCCCGTGCGTACTGGTCACGTATGTAGTGTACATACCAAGAGTAACTCGGTACTTGTACCCTCTCTGCCCTACTTTCATAACCTGAGGAAGAAGGGTGGTGGTGGGTGGACCGTGCGCATCAGCGCATGCGGCGTGGGGGTTTCAACTCGAAAAAACAGGAGCGAGTGATATCCGGTGCGTGTGGTGCGCCAGGCAAAGTTTTCCCTATTTCAGCCGCAACCCCCGGGATGGGGGAGGAGAGGTAATTACAAATCATGGCGTTTATATCTCCGATACAAGACAGGGCTGAAGTGGTTTTGTCTGTGTGTTTGGTCTTAGGTAGGCGAATGGGATGAAGTGGATGGGTTTGGAGTGGACTCAGTGGAATATTAGAGTAGACCCCTGGCGGGCTGGCGCTGGTACACACACCCCACGGGAGGGTGTGAGCTCACCACCCTACCACTGAGTCCCCGGATCTAACCACCCAGCCAGCCAGCCAGCCAGCTAGGAGCTGGGAAGATCCCAGAATTCCGGATGAATCTGTGGTAGTCTAATATATGCACAGGCATTAGTTGGATCGCGCACGTACCGTACTGTCTTTTTCTTCTTGTCCATGTTCTTTTCCTCTTCTAGCTCGAGTTCTAGCTCGGATTCTAGACTAGCACCGGCGGTCTGTGATGGGATTCTTACATGGCATTTTGCTCTGTCTTTTGTGTGGTAATGTGTCTGTCTGTTGTGTGGTGTTGTGTCTGTTGTGTGGTGTTGTGTCTGTTGTGTGGGTGGTAATGTGTGGTAATGTGAACCTGAACCTGAACCTCACTCACTCACTCGAGTCTCATCCCTGGGAGCTGTTCCATCGGCAGCTGGCTGGCTAGGAACGTGGAACGTGGTGCTGCTGTGTCTTTGATCACCCACCTACCTGCCTACACGACTCTGCTGCCACGCGCGATATTAGTAACTCGTGATCTGAAGTGGCCGTTTGCGTTTGCGTTTTTGTTTTGTGTCGGTGTCGGTGTTGGCCGGCGGGTAGAGTCGGCGGGTGTGTGTATGAGTGTGGTCCGCATACATTTATTTATGGTCCGCATGGTTATGAGGCCGAGTGAGTGCGGTTATAAAACGCATCATGAGCTATCACTCTCCCATCTGCCCACCGCGCCGCGCCGCGCCGTGCACCTGCTGCAGATCTCTGTTTAAGGCTACCCGTGATGGGATGAGAGCCCTGCCCTGCCCTGCCCTGCCTTGGGATTTTTATTTTGGCGAAAGTGATATCATCTTTGCTAAACTCTAGAATCTCGAAATATCACTGATGAGCTGGGGGTTATATATATACATGTATGTGTGTGTAATTGTTAGTATTGTATTAATGTATTGTATTGTAGTGTATGCTCCCCCCCCCCCCCCCCCAATATATGCCGAGGGGTGTGTGGTGGGTTTCTAGCTAAACTAACTCGTTTTCACGTAGCAATAGAGTACAGCCATACATTCCTTTATCACCTCAACTCATCCTTTTTCCTTCGATCTTCCTCATTGCCTCTTCCCCATCCTCTTCCCCATCCCCATCCCCATCCTCTTCCTCTACCACCCCCCCTCCTTCTTCCCTCCCCCGTCTTATGTATAATAATGATAAAGAAAAAAGGCTCATCAAATCGCAGCCCAAAACCAATCCAAAAAAAAAGACCAAAAGAAAAAGAAAAAAGAAAAGATTCACCACCAGGATTAAAACTATATTTTTTCCTACCCTACTCCTTCCCCCCGTCCATCCCCCCCCCCCCGTCCATCCCCCCCCCAAAGCCTACAACCCACAACCCACAACCACAAGCGCCCCCACCACCACCGCCGCGCCCCAAAACCCTCCTCCTAACCCTTCTCCCCTGCCGACGGCGCCTGAGGTCCCGTTCCTGTGCGGTGGCTTGCGGGTGTTGACGACTGCGCGGGGAGCAATGGTTGGATGTGAGCCCTATTAATTGATTTCACTGTTAGTTTGTACTGTAGGATGAATGGGTGAATTGGAGGTTGGGGGGGGGGGGGGGGGACATACGGGGGGCGCGGTGATCATGTATATCTTTGCCTCCTCGACGAGCTTCTGGTAGGCGGCGGCGGCTTCGGCGTCGTCAGTGTTGGGCTGGCAGGTGAAGGTTGAGGTCTGTTCGAAGTAGGCGCAGGTGGTGTATGGGGTGCAGCAGAAGGCTATCAATCCATCGTGAAGTTAGTATAACGTATCTCCACCCCCCCCCCCCCCATTCCTTCAAGCAGTAGATAAAGGAAACAGAAGCAAAGACTAAAAAAAAGAATTTTTGGAAAGAAGTGAAGACCTACAGCACTTAGCACATTCGACCTCAAACGACGGCCCAGCAGCATCCGCAGTACCAGCAACAGCAGGAACCGCCTGCTGTTTCTCTAGATTCTGCTGCTCATAAAGTTCCCTGCCGGCGAGGGCGAAGGCGGTGAAGAAGAGGTTGGCCCAGACGAGGAGGAGCGTTGCCGCCAGCATCTTGTGCAATTCGATGTTTTTCGTGGCGTGGTGGGTGTGTAAATGAGTGTGAGGAAAACAACGAAAAAAAAAGGAAATACCCGGTTTGCTGGTGGATGGATGGATGGAAAGGAATGGGAAGGGAGGGAAGAAAAGGGAAGGGAAGGGAAGGGAAGGAAGGGAAGGAAGAGAAAAAAGGGAAAGAGAGAGACGGGGTGGTAGTTGGTAGTTGGTAGTTGGTAGTTGGTAGTTGCTGTTACTAGTTGGTAGACTGGTAGAGAGCGGTTCTTTAGAGAGTGGTAGGTTAGTACATGTAGGTAGTTGATCAATGAGTATGTAGTCAGTCAGTCAGGTCAGTAGTTGGTGAAATGAATTGATGTCCGTGGTCTACAGCAGGCAGCGGTAGTGGTAATAGGATTACAATTTCCAAAACCTACCCCCCTTCAAAAGAGAAAAAAAAAAAAAAAAGAGATCCGCAGAGATTTTATATTTTACGTCTATCTTTCTTCCCACTGCCGTCCGCCCCCCCCCCCCCCTCCCAGCTTATTTTTTGCTTTTTATATATGTATGGTACATTAGGTACTCTACCTCTACGTAACGGGTATGATGATCCAGAGTAGGCCGGCGTACTCTACATCTTCCTAAGTAGATACTGATCTAACTGCCCCTCGCCCTACCACTCCCGATCTCACTTTTCCCTCCCTCTACCTTTCTATGTATCTCTCCCTCTACCTTTCCCAAAAATCCAAACCCCAGCAGTTCTTGAACCAGAGATAGCTAGCGCCGGCAGTTCCCGCAGCAGCGGATTGGCTGGGCAACAGTACAATTGTTAAAAGGATGCTGTCATGGGAAACACTAGTAACCCAGCTGGAACCCCACACACGACACATACACTCACACACACCACCACCACCGCCACCACACACATACCGCCCAAGTACCACCTGCACATAACGTAAAACGCTGGCATCATAAATAAAGGGGTGGAGGGGGGTTCAGATTCCATTTTTTTTTAGTCAACGGTACCTTAGAGTAGGGTACCCGCCTCTCCCGTCCCCAGTGCCCGCCGCCTAGGACGCCCCTTGCTGATCCGGTGGAGTGCGTAGAGTAGTAGTTAGTGCTGTACTACAGAGTACTGCGGTAGAGTAGGGCAATAGTGACATCGTGAATTAGCCAGTCCCCACAGCTTTGGCTCTTGTACGTAAGTACCAGTAATTGAAAGCAAGTAATCCAGCAAGTAAGGCTCGAGGCCCAGGAGCCGGCCAGCCAGCTGGAACAAAAAACGAGTCTGTAGAAATGTGCAAGCGTGAGACATGACTTCTGAGGAAGGCCTACCTGCACTACCTCCCAGGTAGCTACTCGGCTTGGTTGGTTGGGTTGATACAATCGTGAACAGGAAGATTAGAAGATGGAGAGATGCACACAACGCAACAAACACATGACCGGGCTAGACTGGTATGGTTAGTTTGGTTAGTAGGCAATGGGAGGGAAGAGGTCCAGAGCCCAAAGTATTTATACGGGACTGATAACTAGCTACTTATAATTATGTAGATACGACGAGGGGGGGGGAGGGATGTAGGTAATGATTTTCCGTGTGCTCTATGGAGGTACAGGCAGATAGATACCAAGTATACCTTTGTGTCAATGTGCCCTATCTCCAGCCAGAGGCGTAACAAGTACCACCGCGATGAAGTAACAGCTACATTCAACACTGGCCGTGATAACAAAAAAGGAGTTCTACCTATTAGATTACCTCCCTCCCCTCCAACCTCACACAAACCGATTTTTCAGCCTCGCGCATAAATACATAAAGCGCAATCCCATCCCATCCATCCATCCATCCATCCATCGATCCATCCATCTTCCGTCCCTCCTATCCTCCCGTGACCATGTCCCAAATACGCACGATGTAGGTAACCCGATCGTTTACCTAATGAATTGCCCCCCATGTGAGACAACAGCGTCCGGGCGCCGCGCGCGGGCGGTAAAGGGTTACATAAGAGTGGCCCAATTACGTGACAAATTAAATCCCCGGACGCAGCTGAAGCGTTTCTAGACGAGTCCTGCCTCCATTTCGAGTGTTTCGGCTTTTCTAGAAGATTTGGGTGTCGTTGACAGTGCATTGCTGAGGTGGTGCGGTTGGCGCTAAGAGCGCCCTACACACAAGCGATCACTCGGGGTGTGGACCCTGGCTGGCTGGCTGGGGTTACACAGTCATCGCTCTCTCTTCTGTCCCTACCCTTTCCCACCGCTACCAGCTGCAGTGACCGCTCCCCCCAAGCCTGGCCTCGCCAGCCCGCATACATGTAGCCAAGCCCCACATTCCCCACCCCGCTCGCTCCCCGCACAAACCCTAAATCACAGCCCATCACTCGCCGCCCAACTAGTAACCGGCGAAGTTCTCCCCCAAACCACCAAAACCCCTGCCAAGCCGCGTTCAGCCAAATGCTTGTTTCTGCCCGTATTAGGAATGATCTATAATTTTAACAGTGACTTTGGAACCCGACCCTGCGATTCGACTTGTATATAGAAGCCACACACAGACCACGTTTTTTTTCCGAATACGCTCTCCGAACTACATATCATGATCTTTCAAAAACAGACCTTTTGAGCACCCACTGGGAGCAAGATCTCTAGCGCTAGTGCCATTTGTGCTCTCATATGAAACGAACCGCAAGGTATGAAGATTCCGACCATTTCCGTCCGCAAACAAAAATGTACATTGTTACGTGGTATAAATACATGTAATCGCATAAAGAAAAAAAGAGTTATAATATCTAAAGACAGATTAAATGGGAAATATCTATCGAAAAAAAAGAAGAAAAAAATAGAGATCCTTTGAAGAAGCAAGGAGAGCTAAAATAATTTGTAAAGTCAATACCCTCTCAACGGGTGTAGTAGGGCTATTGTATCACGCATATCGTCGGTGTAACTTTTCACAGCCCGAACCCCCATGTTAGATATGATCTCAGGAACGCCCATAGATTCATGTTCTAGAGCGCAATCGTATACGGACTTTCCATCATGTGATCTGATCGTGATGTCAATTGCGTCGAATGCCAGTAGTCTTCGGATAAGCATAGGATTTCCATTCTGTGCAGCAAGATGAAGGGGCGTGTACCCGTCCATATCCTGGGCGTTGAGGTGTTCAGGGGAGCAGAACTTGTCGAGAAGATAGTCGAGAACATTTGATAAGATTACACGATCGTAGAAAGGAGTGGTGAAAGGAATAAGAGCAGCTACGTGCAACACGGTCCACCCCACCATCGGTAGTGCCATAAAGCCTGCGGGTTTCCGTCCAAGGGCTAATTGATGGTCGAATAGGAAAGTCATAAACGCTACAGAGTTGTACCCACATGTTCGTACAATCAACCCAAACGTAGTCCAGCCCCCGCCTTTAGTTGTCAATTCGTCAATAGAAGCTCCTGCAGCCAGTAAAGCCGAAGCATCCTTCAGCTTACCCGTACCGACCGCATCCGTCAATGCATCAGGATAGCTTCCATCAGCCTCTCTACCAACGCCGCACCCAAGAAGGTATTCTTGCATCTCGCTTGTCGAGCCCATACCCAGGGCACATCGTGACAAACATGATCGACCCTCCATTTTGAGATATAGGTTTGAGCCATACTTAATCAATAGATGAAAGAGCTCGTTTGTACCTCTCTCAATGGCAACATGGATTGGCGTCTTCTCTTGACAGTAGGTATTGATATCCATCGCGTCGGTCCTTATGAGGATATGTTCTACAAGCTGCACCGTACCAACCTTGGTGGCATAATGAATGAGCGGAACATCGCCTATTGTCAAAGTGAGCCCGGCCTCTAGAAGCCTATCTATAAGAATGTCGATGGTATCCTGCATCATCTTTGTCCTGAGGGGTCCATGGAAGTATTGCTTCTGGAATTCTGCAAACCCACGGATCGCAGCTCTCAATAGCCTGCCATCCCTCCATTCCTGGGCTTCGGGGAAGGCATTCCAGAAGATCCTCAATGCGTCAGCGCAGTGAGCAGACGCAGCAATTTCCAAAGGGCAGTCCCCATACACTCGTCCTCGCACCGGGCTAGCTCCGTACTTGAGGAGGATTTTAATCAATTTGATGTTGCCTCTCATGATAGCAGTGTTTAAGGGAGGCCCAATCAGATACATCATAGCTGAAACAAATTCATGAGGGAAGTAACGCTCGGTACAGACTGTGTTGACTAGAGTGGAGCCACCCAGAGCCATAATCACATCCGCAATCTCGCTCATCTCATCCGGCTCGAACTCGCAAAGGAAGTGTAAGATAGTTTCTCCATAGCTGGTCTTTGCTGTGACATTTGACCCGGCACCGATAAGAAGCTTCGCGATCCTGAAGTTCCCTAGTCGGCATGCCGATAGAAGAGGTGTAAATCCAAGGGCGTCTTTGAACTCGAGGAACTCCGTCCGAAATCCCTCTGTCTGTAAAAGCAGGTCAACAGCCTCTACAAAGCCGGAAGAAACCGCATAATGAAACGCGCTGTGACCTAAGGCCAAAACCTTTGCTGTCCTGTGAAATCTCTCGATATCGGCCATCTGTATAGCTACAAGCTCATCAAGGTCCGTTTCTTGGGAAAATGCATCTGAATAAGCCAATTCTGGAATACCATATAAGTGTATTCTGTAATTTAGACTGCGAAGGCGACTGTACGATGCATTTTTCGGCATCGGGAAGTATCGCATAAGTTGTTGGAAGACCTCGTAACTGTTTGAAGTATGTGCCATAGTCATAAGGCTCTTGAATGCCTGCTGCTCATATTCTGTGCACTTTCCTTGGGAGGCGGATGTAAAACTCCTAGATTCACTCATCTCAAAGAACATTGGTTGAAATATCGCCACGGGAGGGTGCGTGGATGCGCACTCGTCTATAAGACGCTTCGCCTCTGGGAAGTCCGGCTTATCCACCCATCCCATGAGAAGGGAGAAGGCCCGGAAGACTTTTGCCTGGCATCTTTCATCGGGAGGAAGGTTTTGATCAAAGCAGATCTCTGTAAACTCCTTTTTGATTGAAACCGGAAACAGACGAATGCCCCCGACGATACGTTGGAACGAAACAGTTTCGATACGTTGAAGACCTAGCTCGGGACGAAGAGTGGTGCCTGGGGGAATGGGGACATAAGGACCGTCACTATAACATTGCTCATTTATGTAAGTTGGAAGTCACAGGACAAGAAATCGGTAAAGGGTAAAAGCTCCTGCTCACCCAAAGAACCATGTATCCCAGATTCGTAGAATATCCTCCATCGATCCTCGCCTATCCGCATCTGGTTCCAGCGAGCATCGGAATAGGCATTGAACCAATGTTTCGATCACCTTGCCGCTATGTTTAAAATAAGTCGACGCATTCGAGCTTAACGTCCAATCCTTCAGTCTTTCAATCTCATCTCTAATTTCTGGATTATTTCTATCATAATCCTTCCCCTCCAAGTCAAACAGCGCCCCAATATCCTTTTTCGCAAGTAAAGTCCAGACTAGTAATCCGTAGGAAAATACATCCGACTTTTTCAATTGAGTCCAGGTGCGTGGCTTATTCCATTCCGGATCATTCCAAGGCCATGTACGTCCTTTCAAACTGAACTTCTCTGTACCGTTGTCCCCCGAAAACCCAACACTGAACCCAAAGTCTGCAAGCTTCGCTCGTAGCCCAAAGGCCTTCGAAACACTGGTATCCTTCTCATCGGCCTCGAATATCAAAATATTGTCAGGCTTTATATCTCCGTGTACAACCTGGTGTTTGTGGAGAACTGCAAGACCCTCCGCAATGTCCCGACAAAGACTCACTCTTCCATCAAATGACATCGCGTCATACAAAGTGGTTTGCATGAAATCTTCCAAAGATCCATGCTTTGCATATTCGAGAAGTATGACAGGCACTCGCTTGGGTGGAGGAAGATCTGTTTCTGTTTGCCCAGGCTCAACCTCCGGTAGCTCACACTGCCAACTGATTCCTAGAAAGTCGACAATGTTTTTATGGAAATACATCGGCGGGTGGGTCAAGACCCGAACCTCAAGGATTACTGCCTCCAACCTCTCTTCGACTGCGCCTTCCTTTGGATTTCCGAAACTATCAAACTCGATCATGGGTCTCTTACATGTGATGGGGTTAGCGTGGTAAGTTCTCGGTAACAGGTTACCAACTGGTGGCTGGACGACCAGCCTTTTCGGCCATGAGTTCTTCAATTCAAGTGTTCCCGGCAGGGGAAGACGTGAGACATGGAATGTTTTTCCTCTCCCAAGAAACTCGGCTGTTTCACCGTCTACTTGGGAGATGACTGTTGTAGGCAGTGAAGAAAACTCAGAAGCACCTTCCAAAGTTGCGATGGCGTTACCAATATGGCGAATGAGACTCAGAAACTTAGATTTTCTCTGAGCCGTGGAGGTTGACGCTCTAAATGTTGTAATGGACTGACTGCTGATATCTGTACTGCCCGAGCTTACATACTCGGTGCTACTACTGGATGTTTGAATTAATCCACGTTTGGGTCTTTGATACGGTGTGTACTCCGAACAAATGCAGGATGTCATAGTTTGAGGTGGTTTGTCGGATTATTATCTCGCACTGATTTCTTCTCTATTTCAATTAGACAAGGGTGATAATATAGAGTAAGATAAAGGAATTTACCTAGATTGCGCTTATAGGAGTCCACAATTAATGGTAGTCGTTATAGAGAGAAATAAATGGGTGCAGATGACGGCAAGATATATATATGAGAACCAGAATGATCATAGAAGGTTGTAGGATAGCGTCCTATATCTTGGGCTGATCAATACTTCTTGAGACTCGTGGGTATGCGCATACGCATAGCACATCAATGGACGACTCAGAAGTATGGGTACCGGTGGCCTGGTGCCTGACACCGAAGACTACTCTTTCAGAAAATGTCGGGCCCACGCCACCACAATGGCCCCTTAGCTATACACAGTGCTCTTGCTACTGTTGACGCACCTCCGAGACTCACATACCCAATACATAGCCCATTTAAAGTTGGCATCACTGTACAGTATCGATTGGCAAAGCCATATTTTTACGCCATATGCACACACATATCCATCGCGCTTAAGCTCGCATTCACTCTGCCATTTTTTTCTAATGGAGAGGTATTCAAGCTAGCAACGTTGCAGACCGATAGGTGAGATTGAAATAGCCACCTAAGAATATGCCCCAGAGTAATGGCGTTTGGAAACTAAAGCATTACATTCAGAAATCAACAACAGCTTTATCGATCGATAGGGCAGTGCAATTACCCGTACTCTATCGGGTTAAATCCCGCGACTGTCAAGCTGATACACATGCGGGAGTGGCTCATAGTAATTTCGACTGACGTGCCTGCTCTTGGAAGTGGGCGCAGGGGAAGACAACTGGACTCACACTAGAGTACATGTACAGTATCCGGTAGAATTATTGCAAAAGTCAGATACTGTAGGTTGAAACCTGCTGAAAGATTGACGTGTGGCAACGTTGTGTGACACAAAGCTTAATTCTGCACTCAACAACGTACCACTACGTAGTTACGTAAGGTTGCAAGCACCTTTACCCGCCCTGGCCAAAGGATCTGATCATGGTCTTCGTATGTTAGTATCTCAGATTCGGTTTTTCAATAGTATTCACGACATCTGTATAGTACTAGGACAAACAAGTCCTTTGGTCAACTACACCTTTTACAGTCAAAGTATGTAACCATTTTTAGATACCCAAGCCAACTACTCAATCGTTTCACTTCTTCCAAAAGTCTTGGGACTTATCCCAAAAATTCACCCAAAGATTTCTGTAATAGCGAATCAAGTTTTACTGTGTAGGTTAAGTGTTTCCTGAATCCATAATTTTAATTACGCAGGTTTTATTGTATATGCTAATGATAGAAATTGATATCGATTCTTTTTTATTCCCGACGTGAAATCAACATTTAGAGAAATCGTAGATTTCATGGGTCACAACATGAGTATCAAAGCCATGAGAATTGTCAGACGCTTATCTCCTACTCTAGGATTCTACCGACCCCCCAAACCACGAGCTACCAATACCGCCACCGAAGCAATTCCTCGCTGGGGTGTGGCTGGATGTTGACAATTAGCGTGCAAGACATCAATAATGTTAATTGACCGAAAAAGAAAATATATGTTGGTTGATTAGATCTACTCTAGAGCATCGATACACACGCACAGCCCGTCTAGGCGCAGGCCTGCTGTATGTCTTAAGCAAAGGTCGCCTCTCAACCTCCACGTTCTAAACGGGTGAGGCAGGGTATGTCCTGGCGGGAAAAGGATTGAGGCTCGACATAGTACAGGCGGAGACTGAGATGGGACAAGTTTTCTTTGCTTGACATTCTAGGTTCCGCTGCAGCTTGAGGTGAGGTGTAGCTAGTCCCCAGAAACCATTTCCTTCGCCCAAATGTGCACGTACGTCGTCACTAACCGGTTAATCAGATGGATGTAGTAGATTTGGGGGTTGGTCTCATAGGAGATCTATTATCCCCACTTCGCTAAATCTTAATTCCGGGTGAGAAAAAGTGTGTATCTGCACGAATCCGTGAAGTTAATACGCCAATTCGCCTTGGTTCGGATTTACCACATACAAATACGGGGATGGTGACTAACGGTAGTATTTTTAGTCTGAATTATTAATCTCGATGAGCGTTAATAATAGTTATCAATCACTAACCACTAATATCTCTATAGTACACATCGCGTAGAGTAATCTGTATTCACCCCACATTATTAATACAGACAACAGATACGTCGTATATTATACCGTGCAAACAATTTTAACCCAAGAGATAAACAATTGGACGAAACGTAAATGTGCCTTGCTGGCCGCCCACATGCAGGCGGGACAATTCATACATGTCTTGTCATTTGGGTCATCTTGCAAAATATCGCAGATGTGTGATGGTGTAGTCGAGTGATGTCTCATGTCTCACTCGGCACGTGTTATAGGCGAGGTGACTAAGATCAAAAGACGACAACGGGAGGGACAGCGGGTCATGACAGGTCACAAGAAGACTTTATTTCTATGTCTCGACTCCTCTCTTCTCCTGAGCTTCTGTCAACAAATCTACTCAACTCAAAAAAAGCAATAATAATAAGGGCTTAGCGCGCAAACGTCGACTTCCCCACAGCCACCCGAATGGTATGTTCAATGGGGCTGCGTCATATCTCCCATACAGAACCTGGTTTAATAAACATCATGCACCGTCGGCGTATTGCCACTACATACATACATACATATTAGATAAGCCCTTTGCGCAGACTGAGCTGGCTCCATATTCTACATACATTTATGTACTTGCATGATTGGTTGACGGGCCGGGCCGAGGATCGGCGCCAACCAGGAGTACAAGGCTCTGGGATTTAGTGAGTGAACGGATCCTCACCAGTCAGCACCCCATTTAGTTCACCCACTTAATGCCAGAGCCTTGTACGTTACATTATCAATACCAAGGGCATATTGATATTACTACTCCAGCTATCTAGCTAGTCGAACATCGCTTCAACGCTCAGCAAGCAGCTAGCCAACTTCCCTCTTTATGAACATAAATAACCTTACAATATACGAGTATAGATACATAAGATCACAGATTATTCTTCATTAATTCCCCATGGAAGTTGCTGGACTCGTCTTCGGTGTTCTCCCTCTCGCCGCCCAGCTTTTCCAATCCACCCTGGTCCTCTATTCCCAGTACTCCGATGCCCAAGATGTCGGTAAGATGTCCAACAAATACCGGACATTCCTCCAGATCGAGCGGCACCGCTATGAGAATGTTGGAGTTTATATCGGCCTGCAGCAGACTGGTAGTCAGGGGACTCCCACGGTCCGCCTAAGCCCCGCAACTCTAAACCTTATCCTCGACATCTTGGCACACATTGCCCAAGCTCTGCTCGAAACCCAAAAGCTCGAAACAAAATACGGCTTCCACCGCAATTCCTTTCCCTCCACAGGGGGGCTGTCGCGGATGGGGACTTCCGCTTCCAGTTCTACACCCCCTACAAGCCCGCCGGACCCGCTGCCCGCCGCGGTATCCAGCCGGCTGGAGCGTCACATCATGATCACGCAAGAGGTCAAGAAAAGCGTGTCGCTCATCTCCAGTCTGCGGTTCGCTATATGGGACAAACCCAAGTTCGAACAATTCATCATGGATCTCCGGGACCTCAATGACGGGCTCGAGAATGTTACCGGATACCAAGCCCAGCTCCAGAGCCAGCTGATGGTGCAGATGCTGGACGTAAAAGCGGCCCAGGCCCTATCCGAGCTCAGCATAGAGACCGCGGCGGTCTACCCTACGCTTTCGGAGATGGCCAAGCGGAAGGCGGCGTATCTTGACATGCGGGACCGACAGTTGCAGTTGCAGAAGACCGCCGGAGGCCCGCTACAGCCGGGGCAGGGGGTAGAGTTTAAGCTTAATTATGGTGAGCTCATTATGCGGAAGGAATCGCATTCGACCGGGCGGACGTTTGGGACATACAAGGGTACGCCTATCATGGTTGAATGGAAGCTTCTCGAAGAGAAGTTCTATGACGAGAATATCTCAAGGGTGCAAGATATGGCATGGTTTCTGGCAAAGAGTAGTGTCACCCAGGATGATACTCTATCTCCTTCCCATTTACTAGGATGCATGGGGTAATGATTTTTCTTTCCCCAACATCTCTTCCCGTGATAATGAACAATGGCTTATATATATCGTTGGTGTCGAGCAGCTACTCTCTCAAGCCCGGCCAAACAGAGCGTGTCGCCATTGTCTACAAGACATGCGAAACAAATCACGCCACGCTCCACGATATGATCACCGACGAAGCCTACACCGACCTCAATCTCGGCACCCGCTTCCGCCTAGCGCTCTCCCTCGCCGAGTGCATCTTCCACCTACATCTCACCGGCTGGCTGCACAAGGGCCTCCGGAGCACCAACGTTATCATCCGCGGCGACGCCTCCTCCCAGAGCGGCGACGGGCCTAAAGCCCTCCGGGCCTACCTCGCCGGCTTCACCACCGCCCGCCTCGACGGCGCTGCCGAGCGCTCCGAGAAGATCGACACCGACGCCCACTCAGACCTCTACCACCACCCGCAGTACCAGTCCGCAACCAGGGACGAGAACAGGTATACGCGCCAGTACGACATCTACAGCCTTGGGCTGCTCCTGCTGGAGGTGGGGGCGTGGCAGCTGGTCAAAGACGGCGGGTCGTACAAGCCGAAGGGACACAACCCGGCGCGGTTTCTCAACAGGCTGCTTAAGGGGCCGGTGGAGAGCTTGCGCTTTACGATGGGTAATGCGTACAGGAGAGCGGTGCTGTGGTGCCTTCAGGGGCAGTTTGAGGCGAGGGGCGGCGGCGGGGGGCGGGACTTTGGGGCGCTGGCGGAGGCGGAGATGTCGACGGTGTTTTGGGAGAAGGTTATGCTAGAGTTGGTTAAGAGCTCAGTTGAGGAGTAGACTGGTTAAATTATGTACTTATCAATGCTTAAAGTAATGTAATTTCGGTTTCGGTTTTGCTGGATGTGATATTTGAGAAGTCAGACTTTTCCCCCAACTCCCAGAGTAGCCTACATATGTTCTCCGCCCCGCATAACCACAACTCGCATAACCCAAGCCAAGCTCCAACACCCCCGCATAAGCCCTAAATCACAACCCATCACTCGCCGCCCTTCGCAACCGGCTAACCCCAAAGCGCAAGACCCCTGCCAAGCCCCCATTCAGCCAAATGCTTTTGGGTGCGGGTTCACAATATACATCCTAATATTATGGTGTTTAGAACGTACGACTTTAAGCATTGTACGTAGGCAACATACATATATATTATCAATTTTATTATTATCTGATATAACTATGGGGGGGGGGGGGGCTGAATAAGGTTAGGTTAGTGACACTGCATTAGTAAAGTATACCTATTCGGCTGATCAAATAAGATGGCAAATCGATCATTGTCCCCATTGCCAATCAATGCCTAATTCCATATATATATAACCTAAATACAAATAAATAAAAATAAATACAACTCAACCTTTCCTCGATCCGTGTATATATCCCCGCCGGCGTACGTCTAGTCTAGCACAAACACGGCAGATGCAGCGTCTGCGACGTGCAAGTCTCACCACTCGGCGTGTCGCTCCCCGTCTGTAGATACAGCTTATACGCCCCCAACGTTGACGTCTCGCATGCTAGGAAGTTGAGCTCTGTCCACCACGTCATAATTATTAGCTTCTCTCTCCAAACACCCCTTCTCCCTCCTTCCACCTCCTTCCTCCAAACAAAAAAAAGAAAAAAAAGAAAACTCACGTCTCCCAAACACACTCGCATTAGTGGTAATGATCGTATCGCCCTCCAACCCCCACCCCGTCGTCGTCGCCGTCGCACCAAACGAAATCGCCTTATAACTCGTTGTCGCAGAGCCGTCCACGTTGAGATACAAGCCGGACGTGGTGTCCTGGATGGAGCCCGAGATGATGAAGCGCTCGGCGGTGGCCTCGGCGGCCATGACGGGCACGCCGCCGAGAGACTGCAGGTACAAGTGGTAGATGGGCGTGCTGACGCCGCGGATCAGCTGGCCGGTGCCGGTGGGAGCTGTGCCGGAGGCGGTGGTTGTGGCCGTCGTGGGCGTCACGGCGGTGGTGGTGGTGGAGGCGGTGGAGGCGGAGACGGTGGCCGTGCCGGGTTGGCATTGGAAGTAGTCTGGGTAGTTAGTTAGTAGGTGTGTAGATGTATGGGGAGCGTTGTTGTTGCGTCGCGGGTACTAATGACCCCCCCCCCCCCAAGGAATCGGACTTACAATCATTGACCTTTATGCACGCATACCCGCTCACGCATGTCGTGTCGCCGCTGTAGGTGACGCCGCCGCACTGGCCCCATGCTGCTACGGCGCCGTGGACGCTGCTGGCGGAGAGCGAGAGGAGGAGGATGGTGAGGAGTTGGTTCTTCATTTTGGAGTTTTGTGAGTGGGTGTCTATAATGGAGTTTGTGGGGAGTGGAGTGGAGGGGAAGGGGGCAGAGGTGGGTTTTAAGCTCCACAAGAAAGGAGAGTGAAAATGAGGAGGGAGTGGGTTTGGGGTATATAGAGTAATGCTTGTTTGTCTAGTGCCTGTCTACCATCCGATCTACTATATTATTATACACCCAGCACCGAATTAACTAAAAAAGTGATTTCTACACCCCAAGGTTTCCCCGTCATCCCATCCCTATCCTATTCCCCGCTGCTTCTATGGGCCATGTGGCGGAACTGCCAACAATTCTCCGTGTGGTCAGCGGCGTAGGCGGGCCGGCACTGCATATTTGACCTTTCCAATATACTCGCGACGGCCCGGGGGGAACAGAAGAGGTGAAGCATGGATGGAGAGCTAGCTAGGGTTGGAGGGTTGAAACGGTAGATCATGCCTAAAATTCGCACCAAGTACATGTATGTACGACAAGACTGGACGTCAGTACATGGTACACATATCGATATATCCAGTACCATGGGCCAAACAAACGTTTCTCTATTTGCAGCTACATCTAGTCCCTCAGGTACCTTCTTTATCAGCTTCATAGACCACCTCGCAACCGCCCTCTCCAGCTTCCCGCCCAACCAACCAATCAACCCCAGCCAACCACACCTACCTACCGCCCTACCAAAAGGTCCAAAACCCAAATCTACACTTTTTCAGCCCTACTCGAGACCCTCTATCCCGCTTTCTGCACTCGACCCGCGTAGCGAGTGATATCCTATGGCTCCAATTCAACCACGACACAGGCACTCTAGAGTTAGGTACTCGTTCTCAGCCGCATGCATGCTGCACACTGCACGCTGCATTCTCCATCTCAAAACTTGGAAGGCAGCACACGCTTAATTTTAAATACATTCCAGTCCCCCCCTTCCTTTCCTTTCCTTCCTCCCGTCAGAAACATCTAAACATTATCATCCCCCGCCGCTCAGCGGTGCTTTTTTTTTTTTGTGTGTGTGTGTATGTGTGGCAGAACAGAGGGCAGATTAACCACTAGCTAATTCGGACCTCCATATGTGAAGGGGGGTAAAAAAAAAAAAAAAAAAAAAGGAAGGAAGGAAGGAAGGAAGGAAGGAAGGAGGAAGTTGGAGTAGAGTACGTAGAAAGAAGTACATAGAGCGACAAAAAAAACAAGGGATCCACGAAAGCGCCATAACTAATTATATAACCCCCATAACCGCACAAAAAAAAAAAAGGACACAAAAAGTAATAAACAACATGAACAGCCTCTACCGGCGCGAAGTAGGATATCAATCAATCAGTCAATAAAATAATGACATCAGAAAAGAAGGGAGAAAAGCGCTTTGATAGGCGTTAGTTTGCTCAATACACAACAACGCCTAAAACCCTCTCCCCGCGCCACCACCCTCTCTATGACTCTCAAACAGGTCTTCCAAATAGGTACTCGGTGCCCTTCCTGTCGGTGGCAGACTCAACGATGCCGTACTCGCGCCCGCTCTCACTGCCATCCCCTGTGGTCCCATCAACGGACTTCCAGGCGGACTAACCCCCGAATTACCTCTACCTCCGCCACCACCACCGTATCTAGTACTCGATACGCTCTGGGAATGCAGATGCGTGTGGCTTCCATTCGCCTGTCCCATGATGAGAGAGTCCCTCTGACCCGAAGCATAATATCCCGCCGGCAAGTACGCAGATCTACGGTCGCCAGCTGCGCCGCCGCCCGCGGTCGGAGAGAAGAAAAGCGAATGGTTCGGCGTCATCTGGCGGCCATCAGGACGGTTTGCAGTTCTGGGCGAGGTCGCAATATGGTCAAGGCTCAACTGGGAGCCAGGACCGGTGGAGTAAAAGCCCCCAGAGCCAGAAGGCGGTGGTCGGAGATGGGATTTAGATTTCGAGTCGGAGAGATGCACGTTCGATGCAGCCTTACGAACGCTTCTGTGGAGACTCCATGCAACGAGGCCGCGCCATGCGATCACTGCGAGTGCAAAGAAGGCAAGCGCAGACCCGACGGCAATGAACACGGTACCCTCGGGGAGAGTTGATTTCTGCATAAACGGTGCATTACTAGTTGGGGGGACTGTAACGACTGGTATAGCCAGACCACTGGTTCCTGTGAGCGAAGGGAGCTTTTTCGCTGTGCTTGTACTGCTGAGACTGGGGACGGCAGCAGTTGTGGTCACGGGAATACCTCCAGTTATGGTAACTCTCGTGGTGGTTTCAGCAGCAGTAGTCGTTGATGCTTCCTCAGATCTAGATGATGTAGTTTCTCCGCCCAAGGTAGGAAGTGCAGCAGTGGTGGTGGTGGCAGTAGTAGCAGCAGCAGTGGTTTGGGCAGTTGTTCCATCCTGAGCTGCAACAACCGTAGCGAGGGCGCCAGCAAGGAGGGTGTATATTAGGGAAGAGTTGGCCCTCATGGTGTACAGCAGCGACAGTGATGGGATGAAATACGACCAAGGACGAACAAACGAGCGAAGGTGGTGACTATTACGACACGATAGCGAGCGAGGTTGAGCGAGGGTGTATGTAAGTAAATTAGACGCCTTTGTAAGGGATTTTTCCCTTTTTCTTCCCTTCTGATCTCGCAATTACGGGAGTCCAGGCGCCGCAGCAGCAAAGCAGGGACTTTCCTTTTTTGAAAGGTGAAGGGAACGTCGGGGCTAAAAGCGAGCAAAGTCACGAGCTCTGTTCTGAACTTGCAGCGGAAGCGGCAATTGGGAGACGGGCAGCAACCGACGAGTCGAATTCCCTGCGGGAGTTGTAAGAAAACTGAAGTACTGTGTTGCGCCTATCGATCGTATTCTATGCAGTAATAGTGAAGAGAAAACGAAGGAGAACAAATAATAACAATAAACTGCATCACCAAAATAGATTAGTTAAAGAGCAAACATCTTTCTTAATCGCACCATTCTGCCTGCCGGACCCCCTGCAGAAATCCCCCGGGGCACCAATTTGCCGAGAAGCTGGGGGGCATAGAAACCAGCAAAAACAAGGAGGTACGCAGGGGAAGGTCGGCATAGCATAGTACATACCTACCACGCAAAATAGAGGAATGACAACGAAGAGACTGGAATGTCAACTGGAGCAAGCAAATATTACATGTATATAAAGCTACATCACATGTCACGTCTGACCTAAATACATGTTGGTACCATCATAAGTCAAATCAAGAACAGAGGGTCATGTTACCCTACCTGCGGAGTCTCTCCTCCATCCCGCCCGTTGAGCCGCTGTCAGCCATGCATGCATTGATCACCACTGAATTGAAAAACCTCACCAATCCTTTAGGCGAAAGTTGACGCAGGCGTTGTGCTCCGGAGTAAATAATGTAAGGGATTGGACTATTTAAAGAATCAGCTCAGAACCTCTCGACATACAATCTGACAACAAATTCACTTTGCTGTCTGGTGTTTGAAGGCTCTCGTAATGAATGGGCGGATTGGATTTTCCTGGCTTCTTGGCTGCATTGAAAAACCAGGACAGTGCGAGACATCTAGCCCAAGAAGAGCGATATACCGGTGTATCACGACCTAGACTGACTACAGTACCTGTACTTTACACATCATGACACCTGGCTCTAGCGATCTACCTCTCCCTTTAAGGCCACATAACACTTGAACAAAATGACCAGTTGATAAAGATAACTACATGTACTGTCGTTGAAGATGTTTATTCGACCCAATCAACGGCCCATACAACGTCATTGGCTCAAATCAAAATCCACGCATGGTCCCTGCATTGATTAGATCAGAAAAGGGCTAGATAATGTTGTGCCATGTGACGAACCTTAAATTCGCATACATACATCGCGGGAATACATGTATAACCGCCATCGTCTTTTGATCATTATCCGCGGACACAAGAATCACAGATTCTTATCGGTACCACAATTCAGGTGCTTGCATGCAGTACGCCAAGGGGGGGAGTCTTGGAACGTTAATTCTAACGAAGATATAGGTTACTATGGGAAAGGGGGGAGGTTTATACGTATGGGGGGATTACAAGTACATGTATAGCCCTGAATCCGTCAAATTAATGTCTACAGTTTTGAAATTTTTGAAATTTTTTTCAATAAAATACCTTTAATAGCTATTAAGATATTAATCTCGCTTACACTCAGACAAGAGGCAAAATTCACTGTCAACTAATTGATTATATAGTATATATAGTACCACTTGGTGGGTTTCCTAAAAAATCTCAGCCAATCGAATCGCGATCTTTTCAACTGGGGCGCGCGGGTGTTTGAGTAGTTAGAATACGTTTACCTAGGTTAAGCTCTCTATAATACTAACCTGCGAGAGATTTGGGCATCTATTCGACCTGTCGTTAGTATCTACTACAGAAAGGTACATACAGAATCTCTTCTGGGAAGTATTAGTATTTATTGATGTAATTTGATACTAACAGGTTTCTCTGATTTGAGAATTCTATTTTGTCGTCTTAATCCCAACTCTAATAGAAGGAAGAAGAAACTAGAGGAGGTGTCAATGATCAAACTTCCTTACACTAGCGAATAACAAACAATTACATTCACAAGTTCTCACTCGCTTCCAATATTCCCGGCATGCACCCGAATTTCATTGCTTGGCTTATTCATGGCATAAATGTAGGTGGGACAGTCTGAGACCGGCAGAAATATAGGACATACGTATATACGTATGACACATTAAAAGGAGATAAGGTGCACTTTTTCAATAGTTGTGGGTTGGCTGCACATGGGGGCACAAGCAGAGAAATTTGGCAAAACTTAACGGCAATGAGTGGGTAGATCCTATAACACTAAAGCGTGACTATGATTTGATCACATGTCTCTTTATATCGGGCTCTTTGGATTAATGAAGCATACCTATAGTTATCGTTAGGTTTTCGCCCGAAATGTAGACTGCTTCATGATCACCAAATTATGTAGACAGGTCTTGCCCATCGTCATAGTGCAGAGAGAGTATACCCTAATTGGGCCCCAGTATATACTGCAGTGGCCGGATTAGGACCGGCATGTCATGCACATAGCAGATGCACCAAGGCAGGGGGCATGTCAACTTCAGAAATGAAGGAGATCTTAAACCTGTTGATAGGCTGCGGGTGAGTGGATTAGGCGAATATCTCACCCCCTGTTTATGAATCTGCCAAACTCTTAAGCTTAATTATAAGGCTGGTGTGGCTTGAGCCTGATGTAATGCTTATATGTATTCCAGGGGATCTCCTGGATCGATATTTTCTGTCTCGTAAGTTCGGCAGCATATGGTAATATACGAAGGGATATATATATAGAGAGAGATTCTAAATGTAATTAGAATACGTATATTTAGTAGCCAGCAGTCGGAGGTTCTTCCTGAATCTCGTAATAATGATAGTTTAATATAAGCGCTACAGCATACAATGGGGCAAGATCTCAGCACAACGTCTCCCCTCACGGTCTGCCCTCTGATTCTGTTCAATCGCCGCAGGGGGGACCATATGCAAAGAAAATCTCAATTCGCTGATTATATTCCGATCCTGAACCCTACTGAAATGTTCCAACGAACCCAACCCGCTAACAAAAGAAATTAATTTCATACCATGTTATGACCCTGATATCCAGCAAAACCCCTACCACCTTATGTGTTCAACCTAGCATAGGCTTTCCTTATACTAAAACACACCGCTAGGAAACCAAATCTTCCATAAGTCAAACAAAAAACGACCATCAAAAGAACAAAGAATAAATCCATTTTGTCCAAGCTCAAGCTAACTAGCTCAGTAAAATCTCCACCACTCTCGCCGCCTCTTCTTCACTCAATGGGCCCTTCTTCCTCGCACCCACCGAACCCAGTGCCCTGACAACCAACGCCACGGGGAATCCCATGTTGGCGAATCCGTCCACCGTGTTTTGGTCGTAGCCGCCATATTCGATCGCCCGTTGTTGCGCTGGCGTAGGTCCACTCATACCCCCTGTTGACCCTGATGATTGCAAGTCTCGCGGGGCACCCGCATACCGCACTGCCCATTCCCTAGCACGAGCCTTAAAGACCTGCGGTGTTGCCAACATCATCTGCGCAACCTCGGCATCCTGCGGATCCGATGGTTCGGGGCATCGAGAAGCGACTGCAGTGATAGGAGTGCAGTCTTGATTGTAAGCACCGGCGACCATTTTTGCGAGAGAGTATCCAGGCAGATCGCGCCCTGTATCGATGAATCAGCATTGTCACAAAACGGCCTTTAAGCAACAAGAAGAAGAAGCAAGTGTGAGGAAGGGGGAAATTACAGTCTGGCTGCTGACATTCGGATGCCAGACTTTAGTTTCGAACTTCATCTTTGGCGGCATAAAGGGATAATTATCGGGCAATTTGATATCAATTACGAACTCGCCGCCTTCATAAGGCGTTCCCGGGGGTCCTTTAAAGCGACCCTGCAGATGCGTCATGTCCGACGGATCCAGGGGAGTTGCATGCATTCCCGAAGAAGTATCTTTGGCCATGTCGTCCAGCTCCTTCATAATACGTCTTCTGGTAGCCATTTTGTGGGGTAACTGCTAAGAATACTTCGAATGGGGGGTTCAGGGCAATACGAAGAGAGGAATCGGAGGTGTTCTATTAGGTGGTGGGGAGAGGAGGATATAGGATAGCTATAGAAGAAGGAATGAGCCCTTTAATGTACAATATAATGGTTGTGGGTGTCCTGTATTACTGGACTCTCGTGGAAAAAGGCTTTGAGCGGAATAGGCGGCAGACAGGGCAGTTTTGCGTCACGTCAGGAGAGCTTGGCTCCAAAATGGACACCCGCAGAACCGCTCGTGGATAATGATAAAATGGGTAGACAGCGGTACCTGCCTGACGCGCGCTCATTGTTAGCTTCAGTAAAACAACTCGGTACAGGCAGGGGTTACCCAGAGCGACACTACGAACTCGATGATGGCAGCTACTCACACAACAAAATACTTCAGATGGACGCAAATAACAATTCTATTCTCAAAAACTGAATGGGGTTGACGATAAAGAAGCGGCTCCGGGCAGACGTCAGGGGGCCTGCGCATTAGGCGGGGTCAATTGATCTCCAGCCCTTACATCTTATCTAATCGCATTTCACGTGACACAAATGCACAATCGTGTGTTGAGGCACAGCATGAGTTAGGGTGTCAGGGACCACCCCACCAAGATACCGAGAATGATAGCTCGGTGTGAGCTACTAGTTGAAGGTCTGAAGCAATTTAAAGCTCATGGAGTGTTCCCAAGGAACGTATAGAAGCTAATACACTCCCTTGAACAAAGGAGAGGCTCAATGAATACTTCCGAAAACACAACACAAACCCCCAGATGATGTCTGCAACAAGGTTTCGCCATCAAAAGTACACTTTAAGAACACAGAGACTAAACGGGAGCTAAAAGAGAAAGAAAAAAACATTTAAATAGAAGAAGTTCAGAAGACAAAAACCTCCATGCTGACTGAAACACGCTGGTATCTTTATGTCGGAATCGTTTCACGACCAATCACATCTGCTTCTGCCCCTGAGTCCAGAAAAACGAAAAATGGTTTCAAATGCATGTATAGAAACAATGTGAAGGTGGTCCGAATCCCCTTTCCCACGTGGACTGCAATAGCTGAAAGTTGATCACAAGCTGTCGAGCTGCTTGGCGAACTCATCCAGCTCTGCCTGGGCTGTTTTGAGCTTCTCACAAGTCTCCTCGTACTTCCTCTCCCAAGAGTCCCGCTCGGCCTCGACGGTAGCAACCTTGCGTTCGTAGTGCTCAGCCTTGACATCGGTGAGACGCAGTCTAGCGCGGCGAGTTAGATGCAGATCGATAAATGATTTCTGGAAAGGAAGTATCTCTCTTTGATCACGCAGGTGTAGTAAAAGGGAAACTTGCTTCTCGTTTGTCTCTCTCAAATTCTTGTCTGCCTCCTCGGCCTCCTCTTCCAGCAACTGCACTTTCCTGCTTAGCGAGTCGACCTCGGAACCATGGGCGGCACCGGTGTCGGCAGCACTCTTGGCCTCGGAGAGTGCCTTCTCAAGTTTCTCGACTTCTCCGTCGAGGAGTGAGTTCCGGTGGGTGAGGGATGCGATCTCTTGTTCCTTTGTAAGGTTCTCTTGCTCAAGAGCCTTAACACGGGCAGAAAGCTCCTCGTTCTTCTGGTTGGCCTGCTCGGTCTCCAGGCGGAGAGTGTTCATTCTCTGTTGAGATGTTAATATGGAGTTTCATATTGAATCAATAAGGATGTATCGAAAGAGCATCGCATCTGGATTGAGGTATCCAAGGTGCAGATGAATAAGGGGTAACCAAACTAATAGCAACACCTTATATTAACGTGGAATAATAGATACTTACTTCTCTGAGTTTATCCATTTTTAAGGTTTGAAGATTTGTTTGAGGTGGATGAGATAGGTGTGGTATTTAGTGTATAGATGTTTTTTCTGGAGTTTGTTGGAAGACGATGAGAATCTAAGGGGAAGGAATGCAAGACCAAGTTCGAAGAAGGGGATGGAAATGCGTTGGCAGCAGACACGGACGGACCTGAAGGGTTGGATTGGTTGGTGGTGGGGTCAGTGCTCACGAGAGCGGGGGCTTGGCCAGAGGGGCAAGCGCCGGGGTGACGGTGCGGCATGGAATGGCTGATGTCTGACAATCGTTGCCCTGGGAACGTGCCAAGCTAGGGATGATACTCCCTTGTTTACATCATTCCTGATCTTAAGTAACCATCGCAAAAAGCTCTGACATACGTTTCTTTCATGGTCACTACCGATTCACTAGTACAACATCTGGCCCGCCCTGTATAATCTTGGCCTTCCGACATCACCACAATCCAAAGCCAGCTAATACCGCCCCCAAAAACCTCGACCACAGACATGCTTGCCAATAAGGAAAACGTTTTGATTCATGGACCATCGCACGGGGCGGGCAAAATCAACCCCAAAACGCCCGGTCCCTCCAAGTTAAACCCAAAGACTCCATACAAAGTCTCATTGAATGATGAGGGCGGAAAGAGTAATCTTTTCGCTGGGAGAGACCCCTCTATGTTCATTACGCCCGCTGCTCCACGGCGAGCTGCCCTTACAGGGAAAACCACCAACGCAAAGGCGAGACGTCCTCCATCTGAAGGAGAGGAAGGACAGAAGTCTTTTCAAAAACCTAGTCGCCTTATCCGTACGCGTCTTTCGCTTACGACTGAGGTTGTTCCCATCGCCAATGAGGAAGGAGAATATCCGGAGATTGAATATATGCCCCCACGTGAAACGGGTACTTTTGATCCTCTTTTGTCCATTTTTGGACAATCATGTACTCACAAGATTATAGATCTTCCCGACATTCCTGACGACTTTGAGATCCCAAACTATGAGAAACTTAGCAAGCACCTCTATACCAACTGCCACCGCCAATTTCTTCTGGATATCGATGAATCTGGAAAATCTAAGATTGACCGTCAACTCGAAGAATCTGAACGTCAGATTTCGGCTCTTCTTGACGCAGAAACTGATCAATTGCTATCTGAAGTAAGGCCAAAAAGAGCACCAGTCAAGAAGGATACTGTGCAGAGATCAGCATCAACTGCTTCCAGGTTGAAACATAAACGTTCTACCAGCAATCTTGCAGACAGACCAATCGTAAGCAGAAAGCGTAGTGGAGAAATGGCAAGACCCAACTCTTCTATGAGTAATGGGTCTATTAACTCCCATCCTTCTACCGCTGCATCAATTAGAGCGGCTACAGCACTCTCCCAGCGTCCACCTTCCTCTACGTCTCAACGACCCCCGTCTAGGACACATTCAAGAGCAGTTTCTGGGTCACTCACCAACCGCTCCTCTGATGAGACACTCCGGCCTAGCTCTCGCACCATAATCCGGCCTAGTTCCCGTTCTACTATTCGCCCTGCGTCTCGTCCTAATAGTCGCATGGCTGTGGCCAACTCTAAGACCACGATTGGGTACACTACAGGCAAGGAAGTCGCCAAAAGTGTCAAGAGAGCCCTTGAATTGCCCAAAAGGGAGACCGCACTCGAGGTCTGTGAAAGAATTCTGAGAGAGGATGATGAGAGACAGACTCCAGCCATTATGTTGTTTAACAACGAGGACGATGATGGAGTTGATGACCTCCTCAAGTCGCTCCCGTCTCTTGCGGAGGTTTTCGAAGAGGAGGAGGAGGAGTTTTATCTTACCCTTCCTGATGTGGAGTAGATTTGAGGATAATCTCGGGTTTGCAAAAATTATTTATTATTCACAAGTAGCATGGCAAGAAAGGGGAAAATGTAATCACAAAAGAGTAAAACATCATTAGGTATCAATAGCTTGGGACGGAGGAATTTGGGAGTAGTATCGGAGTTAGTCTTTGCTTTTATAATTATTTCTTTTGTTAGGAACTGTTGACGGCTATCATGATTGTGCTTTGTATAACAGAAATCGAATGTTTACATGCTTTCTTTTGTAATAACTAGCCTCAACTCTAGAGACCTTTCTTAATGTTCATTTTACTATCGCTGGATAGGCCGTTGACACTTAGATGAAAATATCTGGCGCTGCAAATGATCCGAGTGATTTCTCATGATTGTGAGTTCATCCATGAAACGATTGCCATCTCACACCCAATACTTCCCCACTGCCCGTGGTAGTTCACGGCGGTAATAATCAATGAGATATGAGGTATCTTCCAGTACCTTCGCCACGTTAGCATGGAGAACTGCGTCAGCAGGCGCCTAGACATGCAAATGCGCTAGGGCTTTCCCGTGTGCTCCTACTTCTTAATACCAAGTTTCCGAGTTTTATAACTATAGTTCTAAACGCATTGAAGAGAAAGATGTTCTTACACCCTAATACAAACAAATTCCCAAGTCTGCATGAGATGTAGTACTCCGGTGGCTTTCTAATACTGGTTCGGCTTCGTCTTAACACACCGCCAAGTGGCTCAATTATCACTTCCAGCGCAGTATCCACCATGGGCGAGTGGTCTAGTGGTTACATTGCTAGACTGCTCGTCGGGTTAGACACCGAGTGTTTGGACAAGGTCTTGAGTTCAAACCAGGGGTGGGGATAGTACGGAGCACTTATCTATGGTAAGCCCGTGCAGTATCTTTTGTTCTTTTCTTTGATTTTCTTTTCTTTCTTTTCCTTTTTTTTAGCAAAATAGATATGTACTCACAGATAAAACAATCGTCAGACAGTTGAAACGATCTTTACGAAACGGAACTGAATTTTATAGAAATTCTGGCATTGTTCGTCTTGTACTTCGCCCAAATATAATCTAGTGCAGCATGCATGGCCTTAGAAACCGATGTCTAGGAGCCGGAGTCAATTACAATCTAGGCTGGTCTAAAAAAAGATTTTTAGATCCTGCGAAAATTATACTTAGCATTCAACCACCAAATAAACATCATATCATAATTGTGGTATAAAAACATTTAACATTTTTAGCTATCCATTTCTGTTTCAGATCCGTCTCCTCCTGCTCACTTGGTGTCAAGTTCTAGTGGGCGGGCGCCAAGGCCCTTGGCGTAGATCATCGTGCTCGTCAGCTCAACAACCAACGATCGCGTCCACGAACTTCTCACTGAGCAAGTTACGAGCCTACGAGAAAATCAGCAGCCTCCATTATGCGTTTCCAATTAACCGCCCAACTCCCACTGCTGGCAGCACTGAGTGCACCTTTCGTCTCCGCCTTCAAAGACACCTCCCCCTTCTTCTTAATCTCCGCTTCCAAGTTAGTTGCTCGCCTCCTTGATCGTGGCCTCTCACCTACTAACTCCAACTAGACATTTCTCTCAAGCCGACAACACCAAACCTCTCCTCGAGACCTCCGCTTTTGTTCAGACAGCAAAGGGCATAATCTCTTACTGTGATGCCGACGCTTATATCCTCGTGACGCAGCCCGGCCTGCACGCAAGCGACTTCGCGCATGCCTCCTCGGCACCGCGCTTGTCAACCGTTTTCAAAGAGGTTGGGGTGGAACGGGCCCAGGCTGTGAGTAAGGTGTACGAGTATGACGTAAAGTTCGAGGACATTGCGGACATACTGCAGGATTTCGCGATCGCCACATGTGATGCAGAGGTAGAGGAGGTGGACGCAAAGACCGGCAACTTTGGCGGGTTCGACGATATGAAGCCCAAGCTCATCAGAGTTGACTTTGAGACTCTTCCCGAGAACGGCCCTGCGAGACACAAGGCGATCATGGAGAACGGTTTGTCACCACACATACTCATGTTTAACTTTTATGGTAGGTTACTAACGCCGGTGTAGATTCATTCCTGTACTCGATCATTTCGCTCCTTCCAACGTACAAATACAACCTCATCTACACCTCTACGCCTATCTCCATGACCCCCGCTGCCATGAAGGAGTCCAAGGGAGATGCCCACGAACTCCGCCGCCGCGAGAACTTCCAGGTCCGCGATGATGACGAAAAGACCAACACTACTCTCCCCGAGGGCAGTTTGTTCAAGAGATACCAGTTTTTCACTCCAGCTATCTTTGCCGGATACCTTGCCCTGTTCTTCCTGTTGAGCGTCCTTTACGTTGCATTCACCGCGCTGAGCAGCCTCCAAGTCTCTTACGGCGCGTTCGAGAAGGAGATGGGGCCCTCCGCTGCGAAGAAGCAGCAGCAGCAATAGATGCTGCGAAAGCAAAAGAGAGGTGATGGGTATGCTATCATAGGGTTGTAAACGACGGTGTTCTTTGTGATTGGGCTTTTTTTCGTTGACTATTTGGATGTTATTTGCTTGGTGTATGTACCATATCCGTAGTAACTGGTTTCATGGGCAGTGTTTTTTATACATTTATTTGATTGATTGCTTGTTCGTCAGCGTTTGCATGTGCTCGACGGGGATTGTGTTAGTAGGTATTGATAATGGGATGTTTTGCTTGAATCGCTCTCCTGTAAAATTTCCCGACAACTTGCTCATAGAGATATTGTAGTAAATCTCGTATAACTGTGTTGTGTTGACTCGCCTCAACTGAGCAGCCCACGGAATAAACCCAAATTCAGCAAAGTGGTTGATCGAGTGATAAATTATGCTGATGAATCAACGGCGTTCGAAAATAAGGAGTGAGTGTTTTTGTGCCGCTGCAATAGGCCTTCGACGGTTCCTACTATCACCTGGAAAATAAACATTGTAGATTTCAAGGGCCCCTGGCAGACGGCCTTTAGAGCTCCCACTGGCGAACGGCCAGGTCACTCGTGTGGAGAATTGTGCCAAAAAGACATGAGAGAGCGCCGGGGTTTTTGCGCCGCAAGTGCAATTTTCTCCCCTATGAACACCTATTGCCAGCTAGTACAGAGGAATACTTGTTGGTGCTGCAGACTTGGGCCGGTGATGAGAGCCGTTCTATGACTGTTACTACTGCAAGTAGAGTCTTGTAGAATCTTATATAAAGGTCACCTTTTTGATTCACCGAGAAAAAGCGCTATCTATGAGGAAATCACCAATGCGAGTAGATCTAATATTCGGAATGGAATATGCACTTTGCATGCTGTTGAGATACTCCATATATATTTCGAATTAGTATTCATCCCGAGTTGCAAGATTGTCTAATATTTGGAGACCGAGACATTCAAGCAAAACTCTAGCTCTTCAACGCAGTTCTCCCGATGAGGAAATTTTCCGAGGGTGGACGAGGTCGCAGGTTCGAATCCTGTAGGGGCGGTGACCCAGGGGATATTAATCGTGGGTTCTTTTCCTGGCTTGGCATGTGGGATGGTTTCTGCTCCTGGGGAGAGTTTTCCATGTACCCGGCGCCCAAATGGGGCATGCGGACTGGTGATGGAGTGTGGCTAGGTACGAGTGCTGGCCTTGAGCCGGTTGGGTATTCCACATCCTGCTGAAAGGAGCGACTAGTAGGCATAAAGGGTGAAACCCTGTACTTGTACTGTAGATTGAGTGCTCCGCCATAACTGAAAGGTTGCATGCGAGTATGAATTAAACAAAAAAAAAAAAAAAATAGCTCTTCAACGCAATTTAAGGAAGAGCAAGGGCAAAGCGAGCTAGGGCGACACCTGACCGTGCCATGGCAATCTATCGGCACGACTACATCTATTTACCACACCTAGTGTAATATAAAAAGACGTTGAGTTTATGTTGGTGTATTGACACCGCAACATCATAGGATGCCTTGACTTTTTGTAACCCGCCGTTATTTGGAGTTGTGCATTCTCCCAAGGAATTTCTAATGCTCTTATACTGATGGTGCTAGTGATGTACAGGATGAATCAATTCGAGTTAAAAATGATTAGGAAACTTAGCGGTTTAGTCATAGAAGATCACTCGCATATATTTGTTCGGGTTGGTTGGTTGATGACCTGCACCTAGAGAGAAGTTTCCCGCCAACCTTCCGACGCCCACTATCCAAGCAACTGTGCCTTTAGCTCGGAAGACGTTGTGTAATGTCCCGATGAAGTATCCTTTACCGGTATTAGAATACCTTCCGGTGTACATGTTGGGCCAGTGAGTAAAGTCAAAACTGCTGTATATTTTATCGAAGGTGACGGAGTTTCACCATAGCCTCATAAGCCTATTATAGCATGGTAAAGCTATCAGGTATGATTTTCCATACATGATTATAGCTATCCCACTACCACCCGCAAAATTCTGCTAACCCGCTTGGGTCATAGGATATCACTCGTGATTACTCTGCCCCACCATTATGACAGTTTCCGGGATATGTGGTGATGATGGTGTCGTTGCTATGACTAAAGATGAATAGAACGGCATTCCATACCGGACTTGGATGAGTGCGTAACTAAACCTCTTTGCCTTTCAATAATCCCGTCCATTTATGTAATTACCCAGTGCCTCAAATTACACATCCATGGCCGCCCAGAACAGGCTTGGCTTGGTCCAAGATCACGGCTTTAGTGATGAGACCTTTAAAGTTTTTTATCCAGGGACGGGGGATCATACTTGAATACATAGCTACATGTAGCTAGTAGATTTAATTTAGAGTGTAGTTTTGGCTTTAGCCCCCCCCCCCCCCCCCCTTTTTCCCCCCAATGACGCGCTCTAAACCAGACCCTTTTTCACGAGGTTCGGGAGTCAACTAACCATTGATCGTAACTTGGTCCGACCGCCGGTATTTACGGCAAGCAAAATACCGGCCCGGGTTGACCGGCTTCCGGCAGAGGGCCGTATGGCAAATATAAAAAGGGCTCCTTCTGCTCCTTTCTCCCTCACTTCAAATCGAGCACGCGCACATAGTCTGCGCAACACGGATCACCGCGCCAATCAGCTTTCACTCGCAGCAAGAGACCCTCATACCGCTATAACTCGAGAAATTGGCTGTGCATATGAGATCAAAATTACTATAAGCGGACCTGATCTATGCCCTTCAACCAATCGTTAAGGAGATAGTCCCTGGCCGGAGATAGCCAATTTATCGAGTTTTTGCGGTATATGGATATGGAATTGAGCAACGATAGTGTCGATAGATGCTCGGAGGGTTGGCCATGGCCGTTCAACATCAGCGTTTGACTCAGAAAATCTGGCGAAAGACAAAAATCACGTCTTTTGTGAACAAAGTAATGACTTGGAGCAATAACCGTTGATATTGTATAGCAAACGCAACTACTTATACAGTGTCATATATCTCAACAAAACTGCTCCAAATCCCGACAACCTTTAATATTACCGCAAGGTCTGACAGCAAGCCGTCACAACCCTGATTATCTCTAACAAAACCGATACCAAATTTCAAACCGTCTATATATTTTTTTTCATCATAGTCGTGGCACAAACAGTGCACTACTATCCACGAACTACCTTCTCAAACATCACCGGTTTATAACTCAACACCAAAACCAATTCTTTTAGAAAAGAAATTCGTACAAGAACGTTTAGTACTCCCTCTTGACGTTAAGGGCGCCTTCCAATCCATGGTGGGTGGCGATACCCTCAACACGGTGGAACGAGTTGATGTTCTTGTGGAGAACAATCTGATAGCAGGTAGCTGAACCTTGGCGGGAGACAATGGTGGAGTAGGCCAAGAAGAATTCCCAAATCTAGGGGAAATTAGCATGAAGGAAAATATCAAGAGATGGATGGGTATGGCTTACCCTGAACCATCTGGCGCCGTATTTGGCCTCAACCTTCTCACGGTTTGCCATCCAGTTTCTGTACCACCTCCAGAGAGTAGCGCTGTAGTGGACTCCAATGGTATCGACGCTCTTAACCTCAAAACCAGCTCCTTCAAGCTTATCGACGAACCAACCAAGAGGGGTAGAGGCATCGGCACCGGGGAAGACATATTTGTTCATGAAAAGACCCCTGAACGTTGAAAGATTAGTAAATGAGAACTAGCTGAATTCTAGACAAACAAAACTTACCAGATAAGATCCTCATATTGCCAGCTCTTCCTCAATCCAGCAATCTGCAAGAAGAAAATACCATCGTCATCAAGCATGTTGTAAACCTGGGTCAAGAAAGTTCCGAAGTGTCTAACACCGACGTGCTCGGCCATCTCCAAGCAGGTGATCTTGTTGTACTTTCCGGGGGGGACAGGGGAATCACGGTAATCGGTACAGACAATGCGAGACTGAGATTCCTCAATACCATCACGACGAAGTCCGTTGTTACCCCAAGCAGTCTGGTTACGTCCAAGAGTGATACCGGTGACATGGGCTCCGTAGTTCTTGGAAGCAAAGCGAGAGAGAGTTCCCCATCCACATCCGAGATCGAGCATACGCTCACCCTTCTGAAGGTTGATCTTCTCACATACGATCTTAAGCTTGTTGTCCTGGAGCTGTTCAAGAGTCTCTTCCTTGCTAGGATCTGAGATAATTCCGGAGGTGTAGATCATGCGTGGGCCCAAGAACCAACCATAGAAGTCATCACCGCGGTCGTAGTGATCACGGACCTGTTCCTCATCTGTGCATAGCAGTTAGCATAATTATATACTGAATGTGGTTTATGGATTTATCTTACCCTGAGACCTGCTGTGTACAAGCATTTCCGGGATCATGCCAAGCAAGAAGTACTTGAAAAGAGATATAGTGAACTCAAAGCTGGCCCAGTCGTGGCGGGATTCCATAATTTCCAAGCAGTCACCCTTGAACGAGACATCACCCTCAAAGTACTTCTCGTGGAAGGTCTCCATAGCAATCTTGGCCTTTCCCTTGTACACGGCGGCATCCTCTTTCTTGTGGAACTCAAGGTAGTGTTCAATGGGCTTTCCGGGAAGCTTGACCTTCTCGGTCTTTCTTGGGGAGAAGCGGGAAGCGACGGTCCAGTAGGCAACAAGGATGGGCAGAGAGGTGATCAAGGCGAAGAAGATGAATGTCTTCCATCCTCCACCAACTTTGTAACGGAGATAGAAGGGAACTATGAAGAGGGCACCAAAGAGGATCTTGTTGGAGAAGGTATCACTCCCGGGACCGTCTGCTGGAAGAGGAGCATTGGGAATTGTCGGATACTATAAAATATTAATCAATTGGAACAGAGATAGAATCGAAATTGGAACAATTGCCCAATTGATATCAATTGACTTACAGCTGTGGTTTTTACACCGCATTCCGATGATGGAGGTAGAGGAGGTTTGGCAGGAGGAGTTTCTATGAACTCAAAGTTCACCTCAGCATCGGAGCTACTCATTGTGAAGAATTGATTGAGTTCCTGCTACTGGGGTTGATGAGCAGGATGAGTTGGATGAGGGAGAATGGAAGGAAGGAGCGGGAGTCGACGAAGTATAAAAAGAAGTCAATTGCACTAAGTGGGATAGTCCTAAATGCTAGGGAAAGGGGGTAACTGACGAAAAGTCTGGGCGAAAGGGGTTCGGGCAACTCTGAGGCTTGCGTGTTGCCAGGTGTTATTGTAACGGTAGTCGACCAATGGCCCGCGCCCTCGGAGCCCTTTTCGTCTTGGGTGCACTGTTGCCGACAGGGTACTGGTTCCTGCCAAGACGACAACCGACAACTCCTTTTGCTCCTTCGCGTTGACAAGACTTAAGAGAGATGTTCGCTGCCCTGTGCTCCCTCCCGCTCCAGATCTGCCACCTGGAGTCAATCTGTCCCAATCCAAATATGGTCTTTCAGGAGAGAGGTTAAATTGTGCATTGGATTGGGGGTAATTTGGACGCCCGTGAACCAGTGCAAGCCACGGAAATCTCCAGTCTTAGATACAACGCTTAGATACGACTCTAACTCCTTTCTCTGCATATATGGGATATACTCACCAAAAGGGATTTAAGATTGAGAATTACTTGTTTAGGAGTTGCTCTGGCCGCGATATCAAGTGTCTGTACTCCCAATATTTCGCAAATGATATCTGGCTTCGGATATCTAGAGACGGATATATTACCTTCTGTGTACACACATACTTGTAAACCGTAGGCAGTTCCCTCATAATCTTTTCAGTTGCCTATATACAGTTTGAATAAGTGGTAATCTTGTATCTACATACTAATTCCCCTTGCTTTCGCATACAATGCCGTATGCAGAATTTGCACATATATGCCTGCTCACCTTCATGAACTGACATCAATACTTACTCCAGCTGACTAAGTAAGGAAGTTATTTATTACATGTATTAGTCAGCTGGAATGTCAATCAAGCGATTGCGTGCATAGAGTACATGTATCTACTTTAATCTACAGAGTAGCATCATCATCCATGTAAGCCAATGACCACGTCGTTCTCTGCTGATTACATCCACTTTTTAAGCCCAACTTTCTTCTCCCAGGGGAAATTAGCAGTTGGCCTGCGTGTGTGATCAACTCTTTAACTTTTTCTTTCTCATATGGTAGACTCTCCAGGCGGATAGCTTCTAAAATGTAGTCGGCCACAGTGCGCAACTTGAGAGGTGGGTCCCTCCAAAGTTTAGATATCTCTTCTACTCCACAGCCACCTTCATGCCACATCGCGTAAGCTCGTAGCTGTGGTCCAGAAGCTACCAAAGTTCCTTCTTGTGCCATATACTTTGTCACCCATTTATCTGCTTCTTCGACCTCTTTGGACCTTTTTTGTCCGTTTAATCCGCCCCCGATTTTCGATAGGTTCTTTGTGAGGGGTAATATCGATTTGTCCATGGGGTTTTCGTTTCCTCCATTGCTTTCTGTAGGTATTGATGTTTTAGATATTTTCCGAGTCTTCTTTACCCCAAGCCCCTGTATATTCAGCACACGGGGCTTTGGTAAGGGTGGGCAGGGCTTAAGCCTGCTTCTCCTTGTTTGGAAAACATCGAATATCCGCACTCCTGCATAGGCATCGGCTGCGGCATCTACAGAGATTTTGCTTGACTGATTAGAAGTTGAAGCTCCATAAAGATAATCAATCCCACGTACATTGTATTTGTTTGTTAGTCAATGGTTTTTTCCATTGGCTAAATCTCACTTTCCCCTTGCTTAGTGGAAGGAGCAAAGCTTCCTCTGTCAAGCTTGCTAAGGATATCAATCGTTTAGGTATATATCCCCCCCTTTCAGAACTGTATTCAACAAGTTCCTATAATCGCTAAGCTCGAAAGTCCCTTGCATAGAGATGTTGAGATATTTGTACACTCTTAGAGCATCGCCTAATTCAATAAGTTTTAGAGCCAAGCCCGGGGGACACATGTTGTAACGTACCACCAATATTAACACCGACCTTTAATATATCCTCAGAGACTAAGATCTTGTGAAGATTTTCGGGTATAAATCCATTTTTTTTGCCTTCAGTAGTAAATAAATATCGATCCAGAATTAGAGAGGAAAAAAGGGAGATATATGTATGACTTACAGTCAAAAAGTGAAATATGAAAGAGGGCGATATCACTCTGGTTGGCAATTTGCATTAAAGATACATGAGATCTATGCGGTATAAGATTGACTGTCTTAATCAGGGTTGTGAATCATAATATGTACCTTGGTGATTTTTCAGTAACTTTCGCCCACGGATCCCACTCCAAATCAAATCCAATAAATTTATCGTTTAGGAAGAGTGCCGCTGCGTTATTTGCCTCTTCAACTGTCTTGCAATAATGTACCTTAGGGGGTTCTGCCTCCTTATTTTGGTATAATAGATGACTCCAAGTCTTATTGACATTGCCGGCTTTTAGAAGTTGTTTTCGTTCCAATTCCTCTTCCAATATTTGAAACTCCATGAACGGATCATATGGTTCCGGTTCCGGAGTAAATTCGAGGCTTTCGAGGAGAATTTGGCCCGGTTCTGTTTGGTAGCTTACGGTAGTCTCGGTGACGGCCTCGACGGTAGTGGTCTGTTCTACTGTCGCCCCGGGCTGCATAGCAGTTGGTTCTGAGAGAAGCTCCGCCTGTCCCCTAGGCGCAGCGACACTTTCAATCGCTTTCTCAAAAACCGAAAGGCATTCATGAGCTATTGCTAACCTTTTTTCATCTTGAATGTTCTCTATGATTCCCGCCAACGCCTCAAACCTTTCAACAACTAGTTTTTCACTTGATACTTTGCTTGAAGTTGTAATGCTTCTTTGCGATACATTTGCGCCTAACCTCGAGAATGAGCGCTTGTCACGGAAAACCCTCCGCTCGATTGTATGATTTTGATTTGAGTTTTTATTCCATGTAGAAGAATGTGAAAAGAGTCGTGTACCTTCTTGCCCCTTTATGGGGTTTGTAAAGGCGTTGAATTTGAACCAACCGAGAGCTAGTATTCCATTCCCTTTGTTCGACCCGTAAGGGTTTATTCTATGTTTGAGACTTTGGGAGATTGCATATTTTATTGGTAGGTGGGCGAGTGTCGAGTGTCGTATTCTGTTTCCAGTGTTTGGTTAGAGAAGACATGAGCAACAATTTGACTGTGATTAGGGAGAGTACTTCGTCGGTAGTTTGGGGGATGAGGGCGCCACAAAAGGTGTATGTCGCGGTGAACAGTGAATTGACAAGTGCTTTGCCCCAGCTCGACGTCTTTGAAGCATGAGTGAGTTGAAGCTGTAATATAAAATAATATAAAGTGGGAAATATTTCTACTAGTCGGTATGAAACATCTAAGGCGGGGAGACGGGTGTCTGAAATTTGCGCGAGATGAGGCTCTCGTGCGACGATCATGCGGCGAAGCACGATAGTGGTATCAAGCGTTGTGGCTAGAGAGTGTTATCGCAAAGGTTACCCTACTCCAGGACGAGGGGCAGTTCCTTCCATGTACGTCTGCCCTAATTCGAGCACAAACCTCATGAACTATGGCTTCTCAACTACTTCCCCTAGGTATGTTTCTTGATTTTATCTATAGATTCTAAATAACTAATTGTTATACTGTAATAGAGCTTGTTGATAAGTGTGTGGGCTCCAGAATATGGGTTGTCATGAAAGGCGAAAAAGGTAGAATTGCCTAACCCAGTCCCCGCGACCCCAAACCCCGCAGTGTTGGTGTTGGAATGTTTCTAATCGATAATCTAGAATTCAGCGGGACTTTAGTCGGCTTTGACGATTACGTCAGTAAGTCTACTATTATCCATATTGGTCGCTTGATATAGGACTGACCTCAACTGCAGATATGGTGCTCGAGGATGTGACCGAATAGTGAGTGGAGATAGACCCGTTTTATAAAACAAAGTTCTTATTTTTAACATAACGCCACTTAGCGAAAGCAATGGCGAACAGGTTAAGCTCAAGAAGATCCTTCTAAACGGGAATAATATCTGCATGGTATGATACCTCTCAGCTTCAGGCCTCCCATTGAAATTGGCGGAAGCTTACTCGAATCTTTTGAAAGTTAATCCCCGGTGGTGACGGCCCCTCCGGAGCTACTGCTGTTTCCTGAAGAAACAATACCCGGCGTTCCAATTTCCGTTGGTGTTCACGATATCATGTATAAAAGTCAAACAGAAATAATAATTCTGGTAGTTTTCCCGAGGGGACTATAGCCAAAACACAGATACAAGCACGAATCCAACAAAGGCGAATTATTTAGAAATGGTTGGGACCTTGCAATTACATATAGTTCGGTTGATTATGTGTATGCAGCAAAAGTATTATATGCAGTGTCGTCGCAATTGCACATATGGGAGCTCGAGCTATTGGAAATTTTGGAACTGGAGGTTGAAAATAAATAATTGGATAACCAGAATTGTAAGTAGCTAGTTAACTAGATTGTAAGTACTAGCTGGGTAACCAGGATTGTGTAAAAAACATTTAAATTTCCCTTTGGTTTCGTGGTGCAGAGTAGTACATACATGCTTCTTCAAGTGGGACAAGGGGCTGGTGTCCACGCATGCTGACGTAGAAACGAGACTGCTGACATAACGGCGGGCAGTGAATAGGCGCGGCGACACAAAACCTCCCAAGGATCCAAGCAACTCTACACTTCTAAGCTCATAATCTATTCTCCCATCCCACTCCATCGCCCTCCATCTATCATTAGGAATTTCCAGCCATCGCATACATCTCGCGATCTCATCCAAGGCTGCATTATGGTCGATAAAAGCTCTCTTCGCTCAAACAGAGGCTCTAAAGACTCTAAAGATAACAAGAAACCCGATCAAAAACAGCCGGCCAAATCTTCATCTCGGAAGCTCCCGGCTAAGAAATCAGCATCAGGAAGTTCGGAGATGGAAGATAAACAGCTTGATTCTGAGGACGTTGATATGAAGGATGATTCTGCTCCGCAGAAACCGATAGCTATTAAGAAAGTTGGGGCAGGGGGAGATGTGGAGATGGAAGACGGGAAAGCTTCCGGAAATGATGGTGATGATAAGAAGGATGAAGCTAAAGAAGACCCCATAATTGTGGCCATTAATGGTATATTGAACTCCTATGATTTTAAGTGCAAATGTAATGGATGGCAAGATGAGCTCATGACAATCAATACAGAAATCAAAGATAACTTCACTCTTCTGGAGAGAGCCGTCACTCTTTTTGATGCTCGGTTCACTCTTCGAGTTCTCCGTACGATTTCATCACTCCGTCGGCGTCTTACCCCCGAGATCCTTGCAAAGGTGATTAAGGAAACATACCCCGCGGAACACCCGTCCGTACGAAGGTTAGAGGCGGTCATCAAATACGACGGAGCTATGGAAGTAGAAAGTACCGAAGTGACTTCCAAAGAAGGCGCCAGTGGAAATGTATTACCGGAGGTCGATATATACATTCATTTGCTCGCACAGATCTACCTTCTGGACCAGAAATCCCTCGAAGAAGGCGCAAAGTTCTCTACTGAACTCGTTGAGACGATCCATTTGCTCAATCGCCGGACCCTAGATTCACTCGCCGCTAAAGTTTACTTCTACTATGCTCGTTTCCATGAGCTCCTCCCCTCTCCTACTATAACCAGTATTCGCCCTCAGCTTTTGGCATCTCTTAGGACTGCCACACTACGCAAAGACATCGATACTCAAGCTACTCTCATCACACTTCTTCTACGTAACTACCTCCTCACGTCACATATCACGCAAGCCGATCATCTTGTCTCTAAGACTGTTTTCCCCGAATCTGCTGCAAATAATCTCATTGCCCGCTATCAGTATTATCTAGGACGTATTCGTGCAATCCAACTAGACTACACTGCGGCCCACAATGAGTTGGTTGGGGCTATCCGTAAAGCGCCTCAAACTGCTGCGGCGGCTGGATTCGTCCAGGCTGCCAACAAACTGAATATCATTGTCGAGCTACTTATGGGCGATATTCCTGAACGATCCATTTTCCGCGAACCAAGGCTTGAGAAGGCTCTCCACGCCTATTTCTTACTGGTCCAAGCTGTTCGCATTGGAGAACTTGATGCATTTTTTGATACCCTCAACACCCACGCAGAAACATTCAAAAAGGATGGAACATATTCACTCATCCTTCGCCTCCGCCAGAATGTCATCAAGACCGGTATTCGTATGATGAGCTTGAGTTACTCCAAGATTTCCTTGCGAGACATTTGTGTCCGACTCAGGTTGGACAGCGAGGAAAGCGCCGAATACATTGTAGCCAAGGCGATTAGGGACGGTGTCATCGAAGCAACCTTGAACCACGAGAAAGGTTATATGCAAAGCAAAGAGTTGTTAGATGTGTATGCCACTCAAGAACCACAGGAAGCTTTCCACGAGAGGATCATGTTCTGCATGAGTTTGCATAACGATAGTGTCAAGGTATGATTCGCTCCTGCCCCAAGAGGGTGTCAATAAGTGTAACACCCAACTAATGATACCTTTTCTCTCATAGGCTATGAGGTTCCCAATGAACCAGCACAGGCTTGAGCTAAAGAATGCACAGGAGGCTAGGGAGAGAGAAAGAGAATTGGCCAAGGAGATCCAAGATGGAGAGATTGATGACGATGATGCAGGTGGCGAATTTGAAGGATTGTAGAATAGCTTCCACACTATGGTCGTAAATGTGAGGGTGAAATTGGGTTAGTTAAGGGGTCAAAACTTTGTAACGAAAGGAGGTTCGGATGTTTATTAACCTTTTTTTACTTTCTGTGCTTCTACATCCGCATTACCCTCAACTTCAGCAGCATTATTACACGTATAGAGGTGTAACTAAGTATTTCCTCTAGTACATATATACCTTGATCGATTTTTTTCTTGAGCTCTACCCTACTTTACTTTAACTGTAAATGATACTTCCGTGGGATTACGCATTGTTTGGGTGGGTTCCCACGGGGATATATCGATATCGAGCACGGGAATGTGAAAAATCTATTGGTTCTAGCGTAAACAATGGCCTATGAGCTCAACAAACCGTAGTTTTATCTTGACCATTGACTCGAACAGAGCATTCACGGGATTGGTTTGGGGGAAATGGATAGCTGATCGTTTCACGAAAAACAATCCCTGTTCGGCATAATCACAACACCCGCGGTATCGGGGGATTGTTTGGTCTTTAGTGCCAAGCCTCCGGGTTGCGGGTTAAAACTACATTTTATACACCAACAACTGGAGTATGGTCCTGTCCAACTTGAGAAGCAAACTTTGTTGTTGCCGTCGCCGAGTTCAATGACCTGGGTTAGAATCCCTGGATGAGCAATTGAGGATGAGGGGACCCCTGCTATTTTTAATTTTGAACTGATTTTTGCCACACCTTGAAATCCCTGGACATTCGTATATGCTGGGGCTATCTACACAGAGATACATACACAAGTCTACTCTATACATTTTCTTGGTGGTAATTCTCGGTCGAGTGATCTTTTGTGATTCATAATTACGATCCAGCTCATCACGGGTCACTAGCTTTTATAGATCTTAAAATCAGAAATAAAATGACTCAAAAAACTTCCCTAAGGACAACACAGAGCCTGAGAATGGTACGGGTTCGCGCTGGTTTACCCACTGTATATAATAGGTTCATAAACTATCACTCGATTATAGGAACCAACTGTAAACTCGTTCGTTTGACGTTGTTTGTTACGTTCAGGGACACGGGGAAGACCAGAGTACTATGTACAAGGAATATGACGGATCTTCCCAAGAGAATATTCGAGTTATTGTCTATCCGTGATAGATAATGAAACTGCTCCTCCTGTCCCTCTTTTTTTTGGGCAACCTCATGTTCAACTCCCACAAAAAAGCATCGGTGCCACTGATTATAAAGCTCCGTGTAACCATAGTGCCTTAGGCCTCGAGAGTTAGGTGCTCGTGAGCGCCGACTATTTTTGTTCTCCCTCTTTGGATCCCCTCAGGAGCTCCTTCCCTGCCAATCATGTCATGTAGTTTTAAGCATACCCAGAATTCACCCTTGTAATGAATACCCCCTCCAACCTTAGATGATCGGCTCAACAACACCCGAAATTAAGATTTTTGTGTAGGTGGTGTGGTGTAAAATAGGATTTTCCAACAGATGCTAATGGAAGGAAGCTTAGCGGACGGGTGGGTATTAAAGCGCCACTATAAAGTTATTGCGAGAGATATCGATGTGGCCCTCTAGTAAAACCACACTTCAAGGGCGTAGGGCACGGCTACATGCAGTCTCGCGCCCAGCCCGTGTTGACGATCCTCTGCACAACAGAACAATCTGGGAACAAGACCAGGGTACGGCCTCTCCCCTCCTCGCTCAACTAGAGGCCGAGGGTCAGCTCTCGGGAATGCACTAGCCCATTCACCATCAACTAACCACTCCTTCTTTTCCACGTCGAGCTGTTGATGGCCATACTAGGAATTAATTGTCATGTAGGCAGGCGGCCATTTTTGGCGTGTTTAGAACATAGATAAGAAGGGGAAAGAGTACATATATGTATGACCCGCCCAGCTGTCGGTACTAATTGTTGCACATTTCCCATACTCTCCACAATTGACAGATAGGAACTACCTGAATGGCAGGATCTGACAACTGGGCGTCGGTCACTAATCAAGCCCTGCAGCTAACTTCGCTTCGGATATTGAGCTACATGTGGCTTGGGGGGAGGGCATGTGTTGACCCGAGGGTATTTCCGGACGATAACTTGAGGTTTAGGGGGTATTTCGGCACTTTCCTTGCTGTGATCTAGATATGCTCTAATCTGTTTTTTTTCTTTTCCGGTTTCTTAATACGTGCACGGTCACTCTGAAATCAAAGTGCCCATGATCGACGGTCGATATTGACCTAATCTGTGCTGAAACCGGCTACTTTAATAGGTATGCCTCAAGTCTCATATATCCCTATCCATGAGCCTGGAAACGGTGCCAATCCCTTCTGAGACAATCGTGCCCCCATAGGTAATGGCATCTTATTCCTTCGGCTGCTGGCTTGGAGTTGGGCACGCTATTTGTGGGGAGTTAGTTGTAGCAATGTGTACAATGAAGGCTAGTGATGTCGTGGCAGAGATGTGGTCGGTAGTAGAGCATTTAGCGAGATTTCCTGCAATTAACCCTCCCAATACAATCATCATCTATCTTATGTCGAAATACCCGCTATAGTATGGCGTACTTTTAGGCTAGTTGGCGAGCCGAACACTTATAAGAAGACAGAGGCCAATTAAGGAAGCAATCAGGAGCCGTTATCCTTGGGATGAGATACGACTGTGAAGTCGAAGTACATACTCGGTGTATGTGAATGGGAAGTACAGGAGAGATTTTGGGCCAGAGCAGAATAGGAGATATCCCACAAGGTGGCCCGCGGGCGCATTTGCGGAGGCCATATAAGTGCAATAAAGCCCTCGTTTTTATGACACTTTTCTTTCTCCGTATACCGGAATGGCTATGACATATCAGAAGCTGTTTCTTATGAAGATTCTCCCATTTGGATAGCTAGTAGTGAGAGGCTTTTCCTCCAAAGTTGGCGTCAGTTCCAGATACATCATTGAGGGTTCGATCATTAGGTCTTTTAATTGGGATCTGCGGTGCGCAGTAGGCGATAAAAAAGGTAGTTAAGTCTGCATCAAAATTTTGCCACACGTTTATAGGACATCTTCGATAAAGTACAGGTTCGATCCAGAATTCAAAATTCCACGCTGTCACGATCCGGATCATAGCAGTCAGCAAGCCAAGAAAACTCGCAAAACACGAGTGATTACCTATGAATCAATAACCTCACCGAAGGTGTAGGTATGCAAACAAAAAACATCCAAGTATCCAGGGTACATGTAGGCTATATCCGGGGAGAGGAGGGCGCAACAACGCAACGGGCGACTCTACAGCGATAGGAATGATCTATGGAAAAAATAGTTATATGGTGCATAGATATTTCGCCATACAATTTCACCCCCCTGTTTTTCCATAGATCATTCCGGTCGCTGTACGCTCGGCATAATTCCCGACGGGAGTGGGTATCAAACCTACCAGGATTCCCTCTTTCAACCCTCACACCCTGGTCGGACACACTTCTAGCCGAACGTTCAAGCTTTTTTCTTTTCTTTTTCTAGTTGTTCGTGGCTGCATGTTGTTGGTCTGTTTTGGATGCCGAGTGGCCGTGATTAGTATTACTGGGGAATGAGTGGGTGCCAGGGTGCCTAGGGGGAAGCGTGTGTAGAACTTTCAAAAGATCTAAATACCAAGCATTGTGGGGATCGAAGGTGCAGGTGGATGGAGATGGGGCAGGCATATATAAGGACCCGACAATCTCCACGCCCAGCTTTCACCAAGACTTTTTTCCCACCCCCCCACTCTGGGTCTTGAATAAATACCAAGCAGTACCCTCACCATGCGCAGCTTTTCCCGCTGTTTCTCACTGCTACTGCTGTTACTACCAGTATTATTGTTTCTTGTCTTTCCTGCAACTTCAACCTCAGACGACAGCACCACACCTCCACCAATAAACAACCTAAACCCCATAATACACGCCCGGATATCGCTGCGCTGCGAGACGAGCTCCACCTCGCCATGGTCCAGCGACGTACTCAACGCTGCCACAATCCTATTCACACGCGGGCGCAAGCGGTGCCAGCAAACCAACACGGTGGGGTCTGTGTGCAAGCTACTGAAGACGCTCGACACGGCATCAATAGGGATATGTGCGATACCAGGGCACTGGGTGACGTGCCAGCAGGCTGGAGAGGTTGCGGGGAAACTGGTGGAGAAATGCCAGAAGTTTCTGAATGGCGCGTGGAGAGTGGGCGGGTACGTGCTGGTTGACCATAACACGAGACCAGAGGTTGTGAGGATTATCGTTTATAATAGCGGCGATAATTAAGGGGGGGGGGGGTGGGTGTGGTGGATGGTGGGTGGTTGGTGTGATTGTGAGTGTGAGTGAGGCGAGATATGGGATGTGGATGTGGATTCGGGCCGTGGGTGCCGCGATTTCCGAGCGAGTGATGATGGGTGACCGGGGGTGGTGAATGAGGGGTTGGTTAGCTTGATGACTACATAGACTGGCTGGGGGGGAGGAGTATTTGCATTTTTTATTTTTTTTTATTTATTTTATTAATCTTTCCGAGTGAGCTAGGGAGATATTATTAATGGGCAATATTGAAGGAGAGAAAAAAAAAAAAAGGGATTTTCGAAGGATCGCTGTCCTGGTAGACGCGTATCCTTTGTGCGTGTCGTTTTGAGGATTTTTGGTTGTGGGATTGATTGCGGGCAGGGATGATTGGCGTTTCGGATGATGGGCTAAGCTTTCTCAGATCCAGATGGCGTTTGGCTACAGTTGCTGCACAGTGCACACTGTGCACACTCTGCTTTGGGAATGGTCGGCGCACAATTGCAAGTGCGCCCCCATCCATCCAGTCAGCCATCTGTCCCGTGAAGAGAACAAACTTAAGAGCCTGGCCGGCCGGTATCGTTTATTCGACTGTATATTATTATTGTTATCGCGAAAGCCAGTGTATTGATATGATGTATTATTATTCTGCATGTGTGGGAAGGCTGCTATAATATGCTGGTTGCGATCCGACCGTTAGCTAATGGTTGAGACATGCATGTGTTATGTAACTTGTTTTTTCTCCTCTTTTTTTTATTTTTATGTTTATCATGTGCTTTCATGTAAGGCGTTTGAGTGTTTATTTGTTGGGATTGAAACATGCACCACCACCACTGTGGAGGGAGCATGTGAGACCCTTCCCGTTGTGGCTTGTGTGTACGTTGTTTCCATGTATGTATAGAAAACATGGACTCTACTCTAGGCAGCGCTTGTATGTAACTCGAGGGAGGCGCTGTGTGTGTGTTCCCGTCTGAGGAGTACATGTACAGCTTGCGGTAAGATTATTGTAGAAGTATGGGAGGAGCCCTATTGGCTTGCCCAGCCATAGAAACCCTGTAGTTAGGGCACACAGCACTCAAGAAAGACCCCCCCCCCCCCCTAAAGAGGACACCGTGGGACTGCACAAAACCTCTCACCATGTAGATCTGACTCTTGCTCTACCTTCGACTACCTGGTCGAATGATGTCAGTAATATGCCTCCTCCACCATTCATTCCCACAGAGCCACACCGTACAGAACTCACCAGAACCACCGAGCCTGCAGTACCAAAAAAAGCGAGTGGATCCAGTAGCGTTACGGTATTGTTGCGGTATTGCCTACGATAGTGTTTAGGATTCTCGGAAGTTCCGTATTGGTACAGTATATACCTATTGCGTCCCCAGTTTCTCGTACTGTATGTAGCTTATCGAATCCACCCGCAGCCGCCTTGAGTGATTATCAATCAGCCTACAACTCACATACATACCTACCTACGGGATGAGAACCGAGCAGAGCGGGGGTCTGCGGCGAAAGGAGGGGGGGGGAATCCCATCTAGAGTATTCTGTCTGCCCACTCTGGATCTCCGAGACTCCCGTAAGTGTTGCCCCTCGACCGACCATAGCATTTATCGTCACGGCCAATCACTCGGTAGTCCTTTCATCAACGGGCTTGGCACACGTGACCGTGTCACCCCTGTCTCAGCCAGCTGCAGGTCGAGAGCGGATTTGGAAGGAAAGCTCACAGCAGCCTGAAGTCGAAGCTTGTAAGTTGTAGAAGTACCTTACCACATACTTACTCTGCCTACATACACTCACATACACCTACATACACCATACACCACCACCATATCCATCCGTATCCACCCCACTATCACGGACACATATCCCACCACCCCTACACTCCCCCTCCACCACCCCTCCATCACCCCCACCACCATCTCCCCCACTATTCTCCCCCTTCCCCCCCACTATCAACTCAATCCCGGGAAGCTCACGAAAGAATAAAAACATACATACACAGATTTTCTCTTCTCCCATCAACACAACACACAACAAATGGCCGCCGCCCGCTTCTCCGTACAGCAGTCCCCCGCCATGCCAGCTCGTACACAGCCCTCGGGCAGACTAGGCGGCGTGAGGTCCTCGTTCCCGGCCGCAAAGATGGACCTTGCCCCACCACCGCCGTCCATGACGCGCCGCCGCTCACAGCTCCAGCTCGGACATGGCAGCTCAAATAAACCGATATTACCAGCTGGTTGACCTCTCCTCCTCCTCTCTCTCTTTTTTTTACAATCACACCACCCCCCTGAAAACTTCTTTCTCCCGCTCTGCCCAATTCTTTTTTTATAATACACATACACAAAAAAAAAACACAAAATGCTGAGATGTTCTATTGCCCTTTTTTTCCCCATTCGCAGAAATCTTCGCCACAATCCTCGAATACCTGCCCGTGGCCGACCTGCTGCGCTTCGCCCGCGTCTCCCGCCGCATGCAGGAGATGGTCTACGACGACACGCGCTGGGTGTACCGGCTGCGCCTGATGGGCGTCTGGAACGAGACCGAGGCGCGCAAGCGCTTCGAGGAGGCCATGAAGCGCCGCCGCGCCACCATGGCCGCCGCCGCAAAGGCCCAGGAGAGCGCCCTCTCCGCTGCTACCGCCGCCGCCGGCGGGGACCGGTCGTCGACCATCTTTGACGCCACGGAGGAGGAGACGAGGGCCCGCAGGCCGGTCAGTGATGGGCTGGATATGATGGCGCCGTTGAAGGCGGAGCTGCCGCCGCTGCAGAGGGCGAGTTTGAGGGATCCGGCGAGCCTGCTGCTTGTGCTGCCGAGTGTGAAGAGTGTGAGGGGCTTTGCGAGGCAGGAGTATGGAAGGGTTTATGGTGCGCTGGCGCCGCTGTATTTTGATCTTGCGAAGGCGAAGACGCATACGGATCCGGTGGTGTTTAGGATCTTTAGGGATCCCGAGCAACAGGCGAGGATGCTTGCGCAGATGAGGGTGTTTGCGCTGAGTGATACGGCGTATGGGTTTGGGGAGCGCAGGGAGAGGTTGAACCTTATGGCGGGCATCTTTGAGAATGCGGCGTTGAGGGAGTTTGAAGGGTGCGCTTTCTTCTTTTTTTCTTCTTTCTCTCCTTTCTTCGGTTTCGGTTTGTCTAGCGGTGCTGATTGTTTGATAGCGGCTACGAGTCGGGCGATATAGACGGCCGCATGAAGCGGTATGCTAATGTACTAATATTGCTTAACGGAGGCCAGGCGTGCGTGCAGCTATTTGTGCAGAAGCACCCCGTCACGTTTGAGCGCGAGAAGCTCGGGAACCCCATGGACTCGTTCGACAAGCCGACACCGGGGCAATTCTCACTCGCGCCCTCAGCGACCTTCTTTGACCGGCTCTCCAAAGTGATCAACGAGCAGGCCTCCGTCATCGACCGTGTATTCCCTCCGCATGTCAACGTAATGCTGCCCTTCCTCGAGCGGGTGTCGGAGGACGTCATCGCCGAGTACATCACGCCCATCCTCGAGGAGGCGCACGAGCGCGACACCGAAATGTACCTCAAGGCGGTAGCGGGCATCTACACGCAGTGCATCAACTTTGCGCGCACGCTCACGCCGACCAAGGGCTACAGCGCAGACACAGACCTGTGGGCGCAGGACGTGCGCGCCGTGGTCGGCCGCGTGTGGGAGAGCCATGTCGACCTGTACCTCAGCGACGAGCTCGAGTGGTTCCGCAAGCGCGGCGAGACGGAGGTTGAGCGCTGGGAGAAGAAGATCCTTGATGCCGACGCCGCAACGGAGTCGTTCTTCATGTCGAATATCAACAGGGAGGCGGATAAGCGTGACTTTCTGTCGACATTCAAGAAGGTCATCCTCATGCCCGTGTCGGTCATTCCGTCGCCGTTTGCGCGGAATAGTGTACAGGTGCTGCCGCCGAAGACGGAGGCGGCGACGGCGGCGGTGGAGACGAGCCCGTATGCGGGGACTACGACGACGATGGAGGCGGCGAGTGCGGGGACGGTGGGCCCCCCGCCGACGACGGAGCTGGCGGCGAAGGCCGCAATCATGAATTCTAGGCTCGAGGGCATCCGTTCGCTGTTCAGCCTCGAGGTCGCACTATCGCTCGTGCACAACGCCAAGGAGAGCCTCGAGCGCGCCGCCCTCTTTGCCCGCAGCGGCGGCCAGACCGGTGAGGAAGCGTATTACCCCCCTCTCCCTCCTCTCCCTTCATCTCAGTGCACCTGTAACAGCTAGCTAACACCACCGCCAGCAAAGAACAATGCGAAGCCATCTTCATCGCGCTGCTACAGGTGCTCGGCCCCCGACATGTCAAGGCCGGCTTCGACAAGGCCGTCGAGCACCTCAAAGCCTACGACCCGCGCACCGTCACGCAACACAACCGCGTCGCGCCACTAGTCACCTTCCTCGAGCTCGTCAACGTCGGCGACCTAATCCAGCAGATGATCGACGTCTTCTACGAGCAGGAGCTCGTCGCCGGAAAACTCACTGACCGCAACGACTTCCTCAACCCGGCGGCCAAGGAGAAGAAGCGGTTCGAGCAGATGCTTGACGAGCGCGTGGCCGCAGGGCTGAACATGGGCATCGACGTGCTCATGGACGAGGTGGACCACATCTTTGCGACGACGCAGCAGCCTGCGGACTTTAACCCGGGCGTGCTGAACGGCGTTGGCGGCGGCGTGGGTGGTGGTGGCGGTGTGGGCGGGGAGGCGGCGATGGTGGATTTTGATATTGGCCCGAGTAGGACGGCGGTGCAGGTGGTGGAGGTGGTCAGTGGGCATACGAAGCTGCTGGTGGGCAGCACGGATAAGAATGTGCTTGATGTGTTTAACCAGGAGGTTGGCGTGCGGCTGTTTGCCTCGCTGTGTAAACATATCAAGCGGCAGCGCATCAGTGTCGATGGGGCCATCAAGCTCATCAGGTCTCTCTCCCTCCCCCTCCCTCCCCCTCATATACAAACTAATAAGAAGCATAAAAAATTAGTGACATGAATCATTACCACG